TCTCTCTCTCTCTCTCTCTCTCTCTCTCTCTCCTTAATATTTTCTTCTCTCTCTTTCTTTCACACACACTCACACACATATGCATTCACACACACACACACACACACACACACACACACGCACACACACACACACACACACGCACACTCACAAACACACACATGCACACACACAGACTGAGAGAGAGACAGTGACAGACTGAGAGAGAGACAGAGAGAGAGAGAGAGAGAGAGAGAGAGAGAGAGAGAGAGAGAGAACACAGTAAAGCTCACAAAACATACTAATATTATTCATTCTTAAAGTATACTGTCACACCTGGGCACAATTTTTTATACACACTAACTCACTGATACGGTAAGAATTCCATCCAAAGGAAGTCATTCACATTCCTTTTTGACCGCATAATGTCATTTAATTTCAGAGACTTCAAGACATAGCATCTGCAGCCAATGCTGAGAACCAGCATTCTGAGGAATGGCTTCAGACCCACAGCATTGCTTATCTAAAACTGAGTTTAAATGATTTGGTGGACAAAGGGAAGATTGGCCGGTATGGGTCACATTTTATTGATTTGCTTACCTTTTCAGGTTTATTTCTAACCTTTTTTTTTTCAGTAGTGAATTTTCTTTGTCATTTGTTCTATCTGGATTTAAGTATGAAAGTATTTTCAACATCATGCTCTGATTTTCAAGGGGAGAAGCCGTTATTTTTATTCACAAGATAAAGAAATGCTTCAATATGATCTTTTATCATCTTTTGTGTTATCAATTGTGGGTTGTTGTTTTTTGTGCTTTAGTTTATCTTAATATTGTTTGGCCTGTCATGCCTTTGTGAGAAGTCATGTCCTATTCAAGTTACAGCAAAAAAGAGTGAAATTAACACATTTTCTGAACCTGTGTCGAAAGGGATGCTTAACAAAATAATACGTCCTTATAAGTGGTTTCCTATCTTAGAAATTATCAAGTGGTGAAAGGTAATTCTCTTTTTCTTATTTGTTTTTTAGTCTCCATCCTGATCAACAAACTGGAAAGGTCACTCAGCATATCCAGTTTGATGCATATGATGTCAATGAATTTGAATACAAGCTCAATGTGTGAGTAATACTGTACAATTTGACTTATATCTCCAGCAGCTTCATGTTATACATGTTATATTATGGCGTGTTTCTGCAGCCTTTTTCTAGACTGATATTCCTTTGTAGCTAAAAATGTCTATTCAATTTCACAAACACTCTTGGAACCCATTGGAACCAAATGTTCACAAGCCAGTTAACCCCTCAGGCCCCTCATACACACATACAAAGGCAGCGTTCAAAACTCTCAAGGCCATCACCATAAAACTTTATACGACAACAGACATTTCAAAATATTTAGTTTAAAAAATATAAAAAAAGAATGTATGCAACAAATGCCTCATACCATACAGTAAAAGAAAACATTCTTTTAACCGATCTAGTAACGTAATATCCATGCCTTCAACAGTTCAACTTAGTTTTAAATTGAGTTAAAGAAATAGCAGAATCTAACCCTAACCACAAAAAAAGAGTCAGAGACATAAGATAAAAAATATCTTTCAGTTGTTTATCAAGCCCTTTTAAAGGTAATAAAATTGACAAACAGAATAAAAAGCAAGTGATTATTTCGCCAGAAGGCACACAACACCACTCAGATCAACTCACCTGGTGTACTGTTATCAATATCGCGGCAAATGCAAATGTCCCAGCAATCCCCTGGGCAGCAGCTGTCTGCAGGAAGATGAGGGGTTGGGTGACATTGTAAGTCGCCGGGGTGCTGTTGGTTTCAGCACTAGTGACTGGAACCACGGTAGAAGGGCTGGATCCTGCAGGGGCTGTGGGTGCCGTTGGCAACGGTGACAGCGTGGTGTTACTCATTATGACCTAATGGCAGGACTCCATTATCATGTCATAGCTGTGTGAAAATTATCTGTAGATGCAAAAGATACTGAGTCAATACTTCACAGAAAGCACATCAGAAAGTTACTTGCAAGAGTGAGGAGTCAAACTGGGTGCAATGGCACTGCCTTCTCTTCTCATCTAAAGTCACCTGAATCTTCCAATGAGTTTTCTCTGAGCCACATATATATATTTTCACATGATTTACAATAGGTAGTGCAAACATAGCAAACAACCGCAATCAAAAATGTGTTTTTTCACATCATTTACGAAAAGTCACGCATAAAAGATGGAAACGATATTCAAGAAAAAAATTAGACTTATGAAAATTGATCAGGGTCCCTCACTGGATAAAAAAAACATTGAAGAGCTCCAATTCCATCGGAGTACTTGGCAGCACCTGCTGCTAACATTCCTATCAAACTTTCAAACCCTCTTTAATTAAACCCCACGTATACAATCACCTATTTTTATTTATGTCATAACACTGAAATATGTTTAAATCAGTAAGCTTTTGAAAGGTAGTAATCAAATTTAATTATGTATTGTCCTGGTCTGAGTACAAAACAAAGCTAACCAATGGTCTACATCAGCACTTAAAGCTAGCTACATTCACAGCCCCACTTAGTTGCAGGTATGTTTCACATTAGTCTTCAGAAGTGACAAAATATCAAGGAATATGGATTCAGATGGGAGGTGGAAATGCATATTCGCTGGAAGCAGGACATCTTTCCATAGTTATAAAGTACAAAAAATGACATAGGCTGAACAGTGAAAAGTTTTACTGTTATCGAAATAAACCCCAGAATCTCTGCATCTGTAACAAACACAATGCAGTCCAATTGACGAAGGGGAAAACATTTCAAAGCAATAAATCTCTCAGTTCCCCCAAGATAAATTACAATTGTATTGGACGTCTACAAAGTTGATACTAAACAAGTAGGGGAATAAAAATTCACTCCCTTCAGAAAACTCAATAATGAGTCTCCATTTGAAAAATTCTCATTTATAATCTATTTAACATTGAGCCATGAGGAATAAAACAGTCTAATAGTTTCAATCAATTTACCATCACAGAGTCAGCCATTATCATTTGATGATTAAAGTGAACAGTTTGTTGATGCTGACAGACAAATAGGGATAAAAATTTTGATTGGCATAGAGGTTTGATTCATGTCTATACTAGCACCAAATAAAGCCAGAGTTTGAATGGAACGTGATCCAAACCTTTCTCTTTAGTCCAGTTAACAATAGAGGCAAGCAGAGTGTTTATTTTGGCTGATCACCCAGGAGAAAATCGTATCATGACACAAATAAATTACAAGCACACTACACTACAATGCAGCCAAGGCCAAGGGTAGACGTGTCAAGTACACAGAGAAGAAAAAAAAGGAACGGTGGGCAAAAAAGAAAGGGAAATAAAGAAGGTAGGCATGCAGTTGCAACAGGTGGTTCTTTCCCAGATAGACTCGGGACCTCAGCCTTTTCAGTGAGAGCACTGGTGAAACTTTGAAACAAATTGTCAAATAACGCTGTTTCTGATGAAATGTTGAATCTAACAGTTATAGGCATTAGTGTGAGAAATTTCTTATAATTTGACCACCCAGTAAGCCCTGTTGCTGTAAAAGCCCAATTGTTCAATAATTTATAGTCGAACCTGCTATGACTGCCACCTGTATAATACTGCCACCTGTACAAACAAACGGCCATGTTCATTGCACCCCCCCCCCCCCACCCCCCGTGTTCTTTTCCTATAATAGCAATGTGTGATCACCGGCCCAACACGCCTGCATCTACTTTATTCTATCAACCAAAACAAAAAAAAACCTGTCTAAGATGGCCATGTAATTCTTTTATCACCTGACATCTGTCATAAATTACGGCCCCAGACACTGTGGAAAAGCCATTTATAATAATCCATTCACTTGTCGTTACTATCAGTCACTCCAATGATTAAACCTCCCAATGTTTACTCAAGTTCACCAGTCGGTAACAAGTAATTTTCAGCTGCTGGTGAGGAAGGCATGATCTATCAGAATCTATAGAAAAAGCCCCGCCCACAACTCATACATAAACCATACATATTCTATTATCTATTTGTGGTGGCCGAATTTTGCTATTCAAAAAGCTTTTTAATGGCTGCATCGATCGACATGCGGTTTTCGCCAAAAAAATTCTTTAAAATATTCTCCAGATCATGGCGCCCTAGGTTTTTTCAGTTTTGAGACAGTTTGGCTGCAAAAAGCTAAATTTCTTTATTTCGCCAATCGCTTTTGAAGGCCGACGCTTCTGACTCTGGAATTTTAGAAAATTCAGAAGTGATATTTCACGAGGCGCATTTTGTTTTGAGAGTATAGATCTAGATCTAATTTTTTGCATCTCTCAATATTTATTTCCCCATTCCAGTAGAGTGTAAATATAGTAGGCCAATGACTTTTAGCTGATATTAAAGCACCGATCATCCCTTTCATCGAAAGGGGGTCCAGCTAGTATATATATATATATATATATACCTCTTCTTCGCTTCTCTTTTGAGTCATCAGCACGCTACTCAGCCATGTTTATGCCACCATGTAAAAGGATGTTGTGAAACAGTGGGAAGTCCCTCACATGATATTTTGCAGAAATATAATCATAAAGTGTTTGTTCATAACATCATTATTCATTATGACAAACCTGGATTATCGCAATCAAAGTCATATTTAAGCAAAACCATGCGATGGAGCGGAAAATTACCCTTCTGGTGAATCAATGTCAAACCAAGGTTTAATACTGGTCATTCCTGGGGATAATATGTTTAACGATTTGGGTTTTCAAGACCTTGGAAAGTCTGATGATGTAATTATGACACGAGTTATGAACGAACTTATAAATTTTACTCAGCAATAACATCATTATAATATAAAAATATAGAACCCTGTTAATGGACCTACAGTGTTATGATAGTGTACTAAATATTTTCATTGTTTGAATGCACTACTGTTTGATACTTTAAGATTAACAACTGTATTTAACATACAATTACGTGTGCACTTAGGATGAGTAAAAAATGCCCTATTTTTTTGTACTTTATCTTTCTATGAAGAGATATAAATAAGATGCACACATCAATCTAATTGCTCATGCAGCTTGACCAACTATTTCCTTGCCATAAGCATAATGCTTTCAGTTGAAAACATATTTTTCCTGCGGTTGATCGAAAAAGTCCTTCATGCAAACACCCCCACCTTTTGGCAAAGGCTAGAATATGAAAGAGAGGGTATTTTTTTTACTTTCCCTCCCATCTCACACTTAGCTATCAGTTGTCCATTTTCTACGAGATATTGATGCACTGAACACGAATACCAACTTCATTTCTGTCGGAAATTAATAGTTTTTGAAATATCCGATTGTTCTTAATAGAGATAGGCGTGCTTTGAACCAATCGGGGGGTTTCTGGGGTGCCTGCCCCACTGGGGTAAAAGAAAATCTGGGGGGTTACAGGGTTTTCATCCATAATTTGATATTTTACAGTTAGATTTGAAATTTTCTTGAAAATAATTGATTTGCGACAGTTATAGTCATTTCTAACAATTTGTCAACGATGATAGCCTGCAGTTTTACACAGCTGTCTCACTTATAGTTAGATTTTTAGCTTGAGCATGCTGACAAAATTGTAGATAATGATTATGTTTAGTCAAAAAGGGTTTTCTATAAAAATAATGTATTTCTCTTACTGTCAGGTGGATTCTGGGCTTTTGTTTAGATAATTTGTAACATTATTGTCTTTGTCTTATGATTGTCTGTTTTTCCTTTGCAGTGCCATCGAGTTATACACCAAAAGAATCAAGTGGCTCCTTCAAGGAAGTAAAAGAGTGAGTGGGTTTTATGGGGGGGGTTTTGGGGGGGGTTATCATAAATATAATTACTTTCAATAGATTTCTGAATTACTTAAGTTTTATGAAAATGATCTGTTTCAAATTACTTTTTCTTAATTAAATTCAAGGGTTCTTTCAAAATTTGTATTTTACAGCCAGCGAGGATGTTTATTCGTTTTATATATAATCAATCAACCCAATCTGTTAAGTTTTACTCACTTCATTTTTTCCTGATTTCGTATTTTTTCATTCAGATTTTTGGTCATTTGATGGGAAAGAGAGTTGCTATCTGCGTTGATACGTCTGATGCCAACATGGGGTTTGGAAGGCAAACAGCTTTTCAAGAGTCTCTATTGGTTGGTATTATTTGCACAAGCTCTTTTTAATTATGTTGTATTACGTTGATGCTTTGAGAAACCTTAATACAGACCCAAAAAAGATACATGTTTGTTTCCACTGAGAAATACTTAAAAGATGGCTAAGGACATGAGTATAATACTTTTTAGTTCAAACTATGTTCTGAGTTTCATTTTTATACTTTGACCTCCTCAAGTTCTTTTTTGAAAGATTGAACCACTTATATTCCAAAGCCTTTTTGGGACATATGAACATGTATTTATCTTAGCAGAAATGTTGCTTCTCCTATCTTTGATGTATAATTTATCCTACTTTAAAGTATATTTATAAACGTGCTCTAAACTCTATCCCAACTCTCTGTTTCAGCACTTGATTGATGAGCAGCTCACAAGTAAAACAGGAATATACCTGGTCAGTTTTGGCACAGAAATGGCACCACTATGGCCTGTTGTCAGGGATGTGAACTATCACTTGTGAGTATTTTTTGCTCAAAACAGTATAAAGGTAAATTGTGAAGTATAGTGTGAGCACTGTAAAAAAAAAAATATTAACAAATGTCCATCAATCTTTTCCACTATAAGGATTTGTTTTCTCGGATTAGATCTGAACAAGTAGACAATTTCTTCCCCTTTTACGAAGTTGCTAATCCACTGAAACTGAATAGGTGGTTGCATTAACAGATTTGAAATCCGTAGATATGTTTTGTCTTTACTGTTCCGTTTTCATTTCAATGCCCTTTAAGAAGTCATTACAATCACACAAACAAGAAAATGAAAAATTGTTTGTTTGAGATACAAGTTTGAAACTCTATGTTTCTTGTAACCTCATGGCTTTTTACTAACTTTTAAACTAACTTTTAATTATTTCAGGATGGAAGAAGCCAAAATTTGGGCCTCTCAATTGCGAAGCACCGGGGGCACCAACCTGCTCAAAGCAATGAAACATGTCATGAAATTGCCAGACGTTGACACAGTTGTCCTGGTCTTGGGAAGCGTGTAAGTGCTCATTTTCATTCTGCTGAGCATGTACTGAGTGCTTTGCATTGAAACCCATCATTCATCATTACATATATTTTACTACAAGTCTTTGAATGAAGATGTCTCTTGTTATGGATGATATGTGTATATTTCATATTGCGCAGGTTAATGGTAGTGTGGGGTTGTCACCATCTTTTATTCTGCTCTAACACTCATATGGGCTGATAATATCAATAAAACTTTATTGTTGAATTTAACAGAATGTTGCATGGTACTCTATGTTTTAATATTTGTAATATGTAAAGAAATTCAAGTCTAGACTTAAAATTTGATAGCTAGTTGTACACGTTTGTCATCTGTCTCCACAGGCCCGACCAGCCCTCAGAACTGTTATGTGACTACATCTATCAGATGGGAGTAGGGAAAGGGGTCACCCTGCACACTGTGGCCTATGACTGCAGCAACAACCAGACCAATGTGAGTGATGAATGCATTAGTGGTACAATGTGTTTAGGTGCTAGAAGTGCACATATAAATGTTCACTAACTTAAGAAAACTGTGTGTGTGTGAGTGAGGCCATGTGTGCCTATGAATTGTTTTTGGTGTTTTTTTTACAATCATAATTAGTTTTCCCATTTCAATTTTTTTTGGGCGGGAGGGGAATTTGCTTCTGTTGCCAGTTCTCAGTGTTTTCATTTTTCAAAATTGATAATGGACCTGTAAACCTTGAATTCTATAATAAGCTCTGTCAGTTAGAAGCAGTGTGCTTTAGGAATCTGTGTATATTTCTCTCTGTAATAGCTTGCATACCTCACAAGGTGAACGGAGCAGCCTACAGGCTTGAATGTTGGTTGGAAGGTTGCATTTGATGCTGGAAAGATGAACTTTAGGCCTCATGTTGCCTCTTTGAAAGTACTTATTTTTTACTATGTTGTGTTTGAAATTCTTTGTAAAACTTTTATTTTCTCCTAAATATTATTTCTTTTGCCACTCCCTAGCAAATGACGATTACAGGAGGTGCTGAGATATTTTTCTGTTAATGACATTTCTCTAGTCTGAGAGAAGCAAGGAACCTAGCTAGTTCAAATATTTCATTCCAATCCTTAGGTGACACTGAAGAAACTGGCTGACTCCTCTGGTGGCCGCTACCATTGTTACACAGCTAGTTGTGAGGTTAGTGCATTTTTCTTTTTCCTTCCTTGAAATACTTTCGTGTACTTTGACTGGATAGGGAAACTCTTGATAATAACCAAAACGAAAGAAATACATATATATGTATTTGGAACTGACCAACCATGATACCCATTGGAGTCTACTGATGGTAAAAATCATCTTGATACCTTTATTGCCTTTTTAAAGGGCATATATGGGTGTAGGGCTCTGTACTATTTGGCGAAATGTTTTTTTCAAACTGTATTGATGAGCAAGTTTAGTAATCTCCTAAAGAGGAAGGAAAATTAAGTTTTTGATCAAAAGTGGATTGAGCATTTTAGAAAAGTCAACTTTTTAAATCCCAGAACTGTACTTTGTTCCAGTATGACATGGTAATATCTCAAGTAATAAGTAAACAAAGCAATGCCACACCATTGCTAGTCTCTTTAGTTCAGTTGTCTGTCTTTTAGCATTGGTTAATGTTCCTTGCTGTCGAAAATGTCCTGATGGCCGCTGACATTATTTGACAAGTCTTTGTTATCTTGTGTCCACATGTAACTGCTGAGGCACTGGGTTATTAAAGACCAAGTCAAACCTCATAGCAATCTCTTAATTAATTTGTGTTTGGAAACTAAATAAATCAAAGTCTCACATTGTTGTTCGTAATATCAGTAGGAAACATTTAGAAGTGTATGTAAACTTCAAAAAACTGATATTTGGTCAGTATGACTTTCCTGTTACTTTTTCCGTGATATACTCGCTTCAGTACATGTGAGAAGCAATTCATTTCATAGTGCTTTCTCTCATATAAGTTTCCATATCCCTATTTGCAACTAAGTGGGAGCAGAAGGTAAGTAAAAGTTTCTTGTCCTTTCATGACTCACATTATTTTTAACAAAATGCAATTGTTCAAGAGCTCCTATGAGTATCAATAAAATTGACAAATCTCAGTGTACAACTTGCATGCATAAATAATGTGAAACTCTTTTTCAGGCTTGTCATCCTTACTTGTTCGCCCAGGAACAGGCATTTCTTTTCAGGCAATACTCTGTGCCCATAGCTTCAGAATTTCCCCTTTTTCAGACAAGTCTACTGAGATTTTTTTTTAATAAATAAATAAATAAAGAGGGCTGCTTACAATTGAAATGTCTTGTTTTGGTATCCTTCATTTCAAGAGTAATTTAGATTACTTTGAACGACAAACACTTTGCATTTGGTATGGGTTGAAAAAGGACATTTTTTTTTGCAATAAATGTATTTCTCAAAAGACAGCTATTGACAAAACAGGGGGGGTAGAAGGCTTGATCTTCATATCTAATGTGTTCTCTCATCTCCTTGGATTTGAAGCAGAACAACACTTCACCTTTTTAGTATCTTTCACTTCCCTAATTTTTCCTTGAAATTTCATTCACCCTCAATATACTTTTCTTATGTTTTGGTAATTCATGCCTTTTGTTTTGTTTGTCTAAAAAAATTACTGAGTCCCCCCTGGGTTGAACTTTGCTCTTGGTTGAGGAACACTGCTTTTTCGTAACATTAGCCTGAAATGTTTTGTTCAACTGTCTTTTGAGTTCATCTCATTAGTTTAAATTCTGGGATATGTAACTGACCATAGTTTGGCATGAAGTTTCCTAAATGTTGCTCCTTCGCTATAAATACTGAGGTGGACAGGACTAGCTATTGAAATCTGACTGGTACTAAAAAGGCTTTGTGATCCATCTTTATGTGGTACAAAGTCAATTAATGTTAAAGAGTGCTACTTGATGCTGATGCTATTAGGGAACAATTTGGAAAAGATGGATCATGAATACATAGTCTTTCAAATCTGGTATGACCTTTCCTTATGTAATCATTCCCACATTTTGAGTGTCATGTTGTTATTTTCAGACTAGATAGTGCTAGCAATTTTTTTACAATGCGTCTCTCAAATGTTGCAAAATCTGTCACCTTGCATCGTGTTAAGTGTTGATACACAAGTTATGCTCACTTATGTTTACGTTTCAAGAGTTTGTGGCATCCTGGGTCAAATGTGAAGGGTTTCAATGAGTGTCTTCCAGTACATGTACCGTTCTGAAAGTCGGAGCAGTACTAAAAAAAGTATTTTCTTTTCCTGTTCTGATTCAGCTGGGACTCAGAATAGTTTATTTTCTTGTAGTGGGATGTAATTTTCAGAGGATCTATTTTTGCACAGGTATCTCTGTTTTAATATTAATGTGTTCTCATGTACAAAAACCCCTTTACTCAAAATCAAAGTCCAGAATTTAAATCCGTACTTCCTTCTCTTGTGGCATAAGATATATGTACAGTGATTTTACTTCAGGAACAAATCTACACTGGCACAGACATCAGTCTCTTGTTGATGGAGATCAGAGAGGCACAGGATGTCATCAACAAGATCAAAGAGATGAGACAGGGCATGATGGGAAATGCTATCATCAGCATAATGAATGAGGTGAGCTTGATGATTTCCTCTCCAAGTCGACTTTTAATCCACAATGCACAGCGATTGTACACAAATAACTTGCTGAACTAATAATTACTCTTAGCAAAGTTTTGTGAAAAGATTATAAACGGATTTATAGAAAAAGCTACGCTGGTCAGTGTGAGAGAAGGCTTGTGGTGGGATTGGATAAGAGTTAAGATGGGAGGGAGGAGTTGAAAAGGAGATATATAACAAATGCCTTTTTGTCCCTGTAGCTTTTTAACACCTACATTTTGTATCCGCTTTCTACTGCAAGTGTTCACTTTTTTAGTGATGTCTGTGAACAACCCAGATTCAAACCCACAATGGGGACTTTATGTGCTCAGACAGCTTCAGAAGATTCTAGGGGTCTTCAACCACTTGGCTGTATCCTTGTTGTGGATAGGGATGTGGAGTTGGAGGTCCAACCTGCAAAGTGACTCCACTGTGTTGAAAGATGTGTTAACTCTTTCAGTTGCACAGGCTAGTACATTAACACTGCCGTAAGCTGACAAAATGCCTTCTTTTCTTCAGAGCAGTTTCCAGAAGAACAGGATTTTTTGTCAGCGTAATCATTTAAAAATAGTCATTTTGAAATTTGAATTCTAATTTATTCAAAAACTAGTCACAGTTTCAATTTGATTTTTCCACACAAGTAGGGTAACTGATCAGGCTATCGATTTAGCAGGAAAAAAAATTTTTGCTCCAAAATTTAAAAAGGTGTTTTGTCAGCTTACGGCAAAATACTGTGTATCAAGCAAGTTGGATTTCTTTTGTTATATCATGACACAAAAATTGTTAAACCCATACCACTGGATACAATTCTATTACCTTTTCACTGTTTTTCTTTTCAAAGATCACCACTGAGGTGTCTAAGCTGCCTCAGTCCAGGTTTCTGCCCCGACCTCCAGGTCATGACTTGCCTCTCCGTGTAGATGTGCCAAACTTTCACCCTCGAACCTCACAGGAATGGTTGCATCAGCATGGTCTGAAAGGTGAAGTTCCCTCAACATACATAAGAACTACTTTTCTCTAGAAATTCCCAGTAATGATATCAGAAATGTTGTTTTCTTCTTTATGTTTCCTTGTAATGGTTTCTTGTCCCTCATTACATTGCAAGCAATTAGTGCTTTCTCAAGCATTCCCATAAATGGGGAAAATTTCTGTAGATTTCAGTGGTGAGAGATTGGAGCCCTTTCTAATCATACCCATAATCGCACAACTTTTGTAAGTCATGAGCACCAGATTTTGTTAAAAAATGGACATGACATTTTTTCTGACTTGTGTGTTGTTTCCCTTTAGTGAGGGTATTTCTTGACCCTGTTTATGAACTAACGACTTTGTCACAGAGTAGTCAGTATCATTTTAGATTCACAACATTGACACCAATCAATACAAGTTTATCGTATTGATTCTTTTTTATGTGAGTTTTGTATCCATGTTGAACTGTGTTGAAAATTGTTTGTGTGTGCTTTTTGCCATTGTCAGTCCCTGTTGACCATCAGCTTGTGTGTTTTAGCTCAAGGCTATGTTGTAGAAGGCAGAAGATTTTATAAGTTATTCTCTCTCTGTGTTTTGGGAATTGCTGAAGCAGGAAATGAGTGTGATATGTACAAAAAGAATTGACTTAAATGAAAAGATTATTTCTCTTTTGCCTATATTGCCTAATCTATTCCTTTTAGTAACAATGCCCCCTTACATTGAACCACAACAACTCAACTGAATGCTACCTTATAAACAGTTATACCCTATGTTTTTATTCACAAGAAGAATCTCTTGTTTTCTGCGTTAGGATTGTGTGGAGAAACTAAGGTTGTTTTGCTTTCTTTTTTTCAGCTAAGAAACTGGACTTGTATCAGGTGCTTGCCCCCAATGCCTATTCCTACAGAGAGGAGTTTGTGCCTGTGATCAAGAAAGCTGTCCAGTCACAAGTTCACGAGGTTAGTTAAGTCCTCAAGGTCATTCCGAGGTTGCAATTGTCTTCTGGGGAAAATATGGAGAGAAATATATGTGTAAAAAAATTAAAATAATAATAATAATAATAATAATAATAATAATAATAATAATAATACATAACATTTATGTAGCACTCAACCCTGATTAAAGGGCACAGGCTATGAGCACCTTACAAATACAGTAGCTATACATTTATAGTACTAAAAGTCTCTATATATTTATCTCATTAATCTAAATACAGAATTGACTTTAGTTTACTTTTGTAATAATAAAAAGATTTGATCTCTTTCAAACCACTGGGCAAAGCATTCCAGATCTTGAGGACATAATGTACAAATATCCTTTTACCCACTGTATTATTTCACAGATGGTAAAATTACCTTCTTTTTGTCAGCTAATGACCTTGAACTGCAAGTTGGGTGTACAATTTCAACATCTTTGATAAATATGCTGGCACTTTATCATTCAAGCATTTGTGATGTAGAGTGGCCAACTTGTACATAATTCTTATCTCAATAGGAGGCAAGTACTGTATCCTTAAAAGAGTCTTGCAGGGTGTTGCTTTCTTTTCTGTTAAACTAAACGAGAAGTATTGTTTTTAACAGTTTGAAGTCTTTTCACTTTCTCCAGAGATATTCCTGAAAACAAAGAGTTACAATAATCAAGTCTTGATAAATAGCTTTTCTTACAAAGAATAGCGTCTGGACTCATATTCAGGTCAGTCTTTTCCAAAATCTACTGTTGGAAGAATACACCCTGCTCAGTGCCAAATCAGAATAAGCTCCGGGAATGTATTTTCTCAACCATGATTTGATGTTGGTCAATTGGTTTGTCTCAACAGAAAGCTATGGTTCAGTTTCCTTGGAAAGATGGATCCTTGAAGAATCTCCACGTGGACATGACTGCTCTGTTTGAGTACCAGAAACAGCTGAGTGATGCTGTCATGCTGTACGAGAAAAGGGTGGACTGGCTTGCTTCAGGCAGCAGAAGAATCTTTGGCACTGTCACGGAGAAGAAGTAAGACTTGGCCGTCACAACCACCACCACTATGTTCAACTTTAGATACTCTGATTTTTATCATTTACTCTTGGCTATTGTTTTGATTCATTTTATTGAAAAATCATATTGTTCTTTACTCAAAGATGTAGTTGTACTATTTTAGAAATGAAAGTGACTGTTTTCGCTGTTGAATTTTCACAGTGAATTTTAAAGTAAACACAAGTAAAACCAAGAAGTGCTGTGAACTAATATGGAAACAACCAACTTGTGTCCTTGATGCTCAGTTGACATTGTGCAGTTGTGAACACTGTTAGTCTCTTACGAAACTGCACTGAAGAATCCTATACTCACAACACGTATCTTGATGTAATTTATGTGCAATGACCATTCTCTGGGTTTCTTTATCACCTGTGAAGTAAGATTTTAAAAGAAAGCAAACGCTTTGCAGTGAAACTTTTCATAGTGCTAACTGAGGGCTATATGAACTTCCAATCTGTAGAAGTGACTTTCCTAATTTTAGTGTTAATAGAAATTGTATGTATCAATGCTGACCACAAACGCAACTGTGTATTATAATCTGTTTATCAATTCTTCTTCAGTGTTGTTGTTCTCATTGACACTTCTGTGAGCAACATCAACTATCTGGTCCATATCCAACATTCCATGAGACTTCTGATGGAGGAACAGATAGCCAACAAAGATTACTTCAACATCATTGCGTAAGTTAAATACATACTATTGATATTTCTATCTTAAATCAAAATCCAGTAGCGAAAATAAAGTTTTTCCAGAATCTGTGAAAACCCATCGAGCCAGTGACTGTTCTGATTTTCTTAGACCTGTGCAAATTAGGCAATAAAATATTGTGGCCTGGACTACAAGGTAATGTGTCTCAGATAGGTTCTAGACAGTCTTTTTTGACAAATTGTTACAAGATGTAAAAAGATGCAATGTTTATACAAAAGAAAAGAAGATGTGTATTGAAGGATAACAAAAGACTTCATTTTGAATTTTGTTTGTGCCCAGCTTCAGACAGTACAAAGTTTGAAGAGGATCTCTCCAGTTTAAAGAGAGCTATTTCTGTCTTTCAAAATGAGTTAAGATTATCAAGTATCTTTTTGTCTTTTCTGCTCCTTCTGATTAAACAATACAGATTTTTATGTTTTTCTTTCTTTTTCTAGCCCATAACTAACTGTTTTCTCAGAGATAGATGTAAAATCAGAGGTCCTACTTTTGAAATGATGTAACTATGTTGGAAGGAGACATACCATGCCATAATAATGTTTTCTTCTTTCATTTAAAGTTTTGGAAGCCAAGCAAGACAGTTTATGCCCACAATGGTGAGACCCACACCAGAACATCTTCAAAAAGCCTGGAAGTGAGTATATTGCACTGCACTGAGCACACCTTAGATTTACAGATGTAGAAAGCATCCTGTTAATTTTATAATTAAACAAAATTCAAGGGCATGATCTGTATGTTTTGTTTATTTATTGGAAAATTCATTTTAGTTGAATAAGTATCTTAAAACATGAGTGAAAGGATTTTTTTTTCTTCTGAAATGGAAGTTACTGTAGTGATTATATGCTGTAAACAGCAGTTTGCAGCCTAGATCTTTATGTTCTTGTGTGCTGAGGGGCTGTTTTCATAGTTTTCAGAGGGACACAGTCTATGTAGGCTGGAATAACAATGAATGCAAAAGGCTGATTCTCATTTCAAAATGTGTATGTATTTTTGCTTTTTGTTTTCTGTGATGCTGCCTTGTTTTGTTTTTATCAGAGGACGATACTCACCATAGCCTCCCTTGATCCTTTCAATTGTAGGGTCCCCACAGGGTCGGGAAATCGGGAAAAAGTCGGGAATTTTGAGATGGGTTGGGAGGTCGGGAAAAAGTCGGGAATTTTGTGATGGGTCGGTAAGTCGGGAAAGTATAGGGCCTGTGTAATGTGCAGCTATCTAGACTGTATGGTTGATGAGGCCTAAAGAGGAAGCGTAATTGAACCGCTGTGACGGAAGTGTATGTGTGACACCGAGGCTCGACCGGGAAGAATCAAGATCTGCTTTCGTTACCGCCCAGAAATTTTGCGGTAATAGTCTGATAGATAACGCAACATTTTGTAACATGCAGGTTGTGCATTATGAACGCTGTGTCGCCTTGAAAATAAATCAATATTAACAAATGCCCTCTGCTGTCGCTTGTGGAAAAAAAAAAGAAAAAGAAGTTATACAAGCGTCTTGACAGGTTCGCCCTCGTGACCGGTCAATGAACCTGTGAGTACCGGCGGTCTGAGCGCTGTGAAGTATAGGACTCCTTTATAAGATACACTCGTGGAAGGGGATTGGGGAGGGGGGGGGAGCTGAAGGCAACGCTAGAGGACAAAATCTGAACTTGGAAGCAAATTTTTAGCATTTTGATTACTACTTTAGAGCTCTCTGCAAAGCGTGCGTTGGTGCAGGCCTTGTGTGGAATCAGGATCCGTCATGCCTTGTTATTGAACTAAAGTGTTCGCGTTTCATTGGATGGGGTGATTGAAATTTATATATATATTTTATTACCTTTCTCTTCAAGATTGGCAGTTCCCCAGTTCTTACACCTCTCACACTGAATATGTGTACTTGAGCCATTCTAGTTATTACTCTACTTTGAGTTGCAGCAATGGTTTTCGTCTTCACGTTTATTATATGAATCAGGACACCCAGACTGGTTATTGACAGTCGATTTTCTAGTTCTAGGTCTTTTTTCAGGCTCAAAACAGGATTCTTTTTTTATATAGGGCCTATAGTTCGTTATGTTGGCTGATATGATGATGGGAAAATATAAATAAGTAAGAACAGACTGAAATACCAAAGTCTCTCAAGATCCCAGTGCCACACTGACATGTTGTTGACTGGATATAATGTACCTACATGTGTGTGTGTGTGTGTGTATTCACAAACATATACATGTATTATATTAGATATAAATGGAGCACACGCTTTCATTGTTATGTAACGTGTTCCTGGAAAATGGATGAGGCCCCTCCCTTGGAAAATTGAGAAACTGGTTTGGCAGTCACCCAGTATTATAGTCATCTATTGTTTGAAGACTATACTACAAAATGTAAGTTTGCATTCATTTATAGACATTTTGACTTTTTATCTTTGATAGATTGGCTTTTTTGGGGATCATTCTTGACGCGCAGCGGCCTGATTTTTCCCTCGAATTGGGGTCTTGAAAAAAATTTGGGGGTCTTGAAAAAATTTTCAAGGATTTGGTGGGGACCCTGCAATTGGCAAAGATTCAATCTTTAACCATGTCATGTTTTTCATGTGTGTAGGTGGATTCTGGAGCTTCAATGTGGTGGCAGCCGAAACTTTCTAAATGCGTATAGGATGGCTGTTGAGAATGACGAGGAGATCAAGCATCACATCTGTAAGTTAATAAGTCATCATTCATGTGCATATGTATGTGCGTTGTTGGTTTGGGGTTGTTGGGGGGGGGGGCTGTTATTTTTTAGGGGGAGGGGTGTGAAAAGTGGGAAAAGGAGACTTGGCGCATATTCTTGTTTCTTTATAAAATTGGCATTCTTTTCATTTTCTGAGCAAAATCTGCCTCTTTTTTGTCAAGGTGAAAAGAACATGTTCAGGCACAATGATTACGATGGGATTCTTGGATAAAATTGTTCAATGTGTATGTTATAACCCAGCAAAATAAGGTCGTGTTCCCAAAGGTAATACTTCAGAATTTCAGCAGTAAATGTAGTTCATTGACATAGTGGTGAGTTATTTTAAAAGATAGTTTTGATTTGCTAGGCTTAATCATTACTCCTTACTTAATTTTAAAATGACCAATCTTATGGTGTGGCATTGAGCTGTTATTTGCTTGCTTTCAAAAGGTATTATTCCTTGCCTATTCTAAAGAATGTAATATCAGGGTGTAGAACAAGGATTTTCCTGGTTGAGTGGATCATATTCTGCGTTCACTTCACCTTTAAGTCAACACTAACATCTGCCTCCAGTTGTGCAAGGAGCGTACCTATTCACCAGCGGCGTGCCTGACCAGATGTCGGAGGTTGTGGCGAGCTACATCGAGGAGGCCAGCACTGGTCGTGGAGTGAGGCTACATTCCATCTTGTTCAATGTGGATGACTATGATGCCAATGGAGCCATCCCTGGCCGCTATGCCAACATCACTCGCACTGCTGAATGCCTGCGCAACATGGCTCATATCACAGGTGGAAGGTTCCACTGGTTCAGAGAAACAGGTTGGTGAGAAATATGTTTTTGAGAATTGGTATGAAAGTGAACTGATTTTCTCAGTTGCCTCAAAGTATGTGCTTCAAGTCTTCAAATTACCTCTGCATGGTGGACTTGAAGTAGCAGAAGAAAAATATTTGCATGTGAGAGGCAATTCAAAAATTTTGAAGGTCAGCGGATTTGCATGAAAATCTATTAAAGCATATCATAAAAATATCCTATCTTTAGAAAAGATTTGAATTATATAACAGATCTTTCTTCAGCATGGCATGAATTGCATTTTGTGACAGTATCTCTTTGTAAGGAGTAAGAGAAAGGGAAAAGTAGCGAGATTCATATTGTGAAAGTAAAGTCACTTTTTGTTCTTTTGTCATAATTAACCAGCCTCAATAAAGTACTTAAGGTTTTATCCCATTATCTTTCACTTAGAACTTTTACTACAAAAAATGAATTTTAGTCGTTTCAAGAAGTCTGGGCTTTTATTCTGGAGCTAAGATTTGGAAATCCCTTTCACTGTGTTCTTGGCAAAGTCACAAATGGATCATAAGATGACTCCAGTAGCGAACTCAGTTATGTCAAAAAAGGTCTTTCACGAAACTTCAGACAGAATACTGAATAAACTTGTATGAAATGTCATGTAAAAATTGAAACCTGCCTTTATTTAGTTATTACTCTTCAGCCTCCTTGGAAGAAACAGTCATCAAAAAGGGTGTGGCAGTTATGTTTTGCAATGCAAATCTGAGGTCATAAATGAAACTTCACATCTACGTGGTAGTTTGGACTGTCGAGTTGTTGATTCATGTAACCAAAATCTTGAATTCATGGATACAGGCTACCAGGGGGCATCCTAGGAATACCAAGCTCCAAAAGCAAATATTTTTAAACGGAGAACAGCAACTTTCCTGAATTTGTGCTCTCACTCTTTTCGAATATACAATAAGCTGCGAATATATCTGAGGCAGCGTTGTGGAATCAGGCTCTCATCAAAAAAATAAACGTGAGGAAACTTGCATTTTTCCGCAGGTTTAGGAATTTTTATCAAATTTTTTTGTTTTGGCTCAAACCCTTTTTTGCCCATTAAAGAACTCATTTATGTGTGGATTTTTCTGAAAAACGTTGATTAAAGCACGAGAAATGTAGAATTTCAGTTACCACGGACTCTTAGGCTAAGGTAATAACTAATCTTTGGCAGCCATTTTCTCACTAATTTAACCTCTGAAAACAGGTGACCCCCACCCCCTTCATTTGTAAATATCCCGACTTGTATTCAAGATAAATGGATATTTTTTTCATCCAAATAGAGACAAGTGAACAAGCTTAAAGATGATACCAATAACTGTACCTGGCCCAAAATTGACGAGAGCCTGATTCCACCACGCTGCCTTACATATACAGTCCTCCTTCTTTTGCTCTGTAATGAATAGATTGATGTAAAGCATGAGTCTGTTATATCGATTTATGCTTGTAAAATACAAAAATATTCATCACACTTTGCAGGGAATCAGCATGAGCTGTTTGGTAATGCTGGTTAGTGCTCACCATAGAAAGAGAAAAAAGGGGACAGAGAGTGCGATGGTTTAGTCTGGGTAGTTATTTGCTGCCATATTTGTTGTTTGCACATATGAGAAAAATATCACCCTCCATATGTAGCATTTATATAAATACTCAAGTCATAAGAGTTGTACAGCTCCTCAAAGGGGTTAGAGATTTCCTGTTTTGTGAAGACCTACTTTTTTACTTTGATGCCTGCCTTATAGCTGATATCAGCAACCCCCTGATCATCAGAGAAATATAAAAAATGTCCTCATAATCTCTGAAATGAATATGGCAGATAGCTACTTTTGATTTCTGTCTGTACTGATGTATTTGTTACCAATGCACATTCTGTCCATATTTTTTTTTAACTCTATGGAATGCATGCTCCTTTCCCTTGTCTGTACAGAATGTTAAAATTTACCTTCTTCTTTGTCAGTCATTAATGTTGTTCTGCCAAACAAAATCTGGGTTATTTAATAAAACATTTTTGTTTGAACTTTTAAAAAGTAGATGCTCTTCCTTGTGGTCTTTATGTGAATGGAAGAGTAATGACCACTGACCGGCAAATCTCATAGATGGTGTTCCATGCTCTGACTGGGTAGAATGCTTGTCAGACTTGTAGCTATCAATTTCCATATTGCCATAATTTTCTTTCTGATATATTCAAAATTACCCAAGATGACCCACTTTGAGGAGAAAAGTGGCTGTCTTAGACAGGTAGACATCTTGAACAGTGCCATTATCATATGGAATAAAGACAAGGTGGAAGTGGGAAATAGACATTTGTACAGGTGATTGTCTTGGACATGTGACTGTTAGAGCAGGTTTGACGGTATTTACATGACCAGAAACATTAAAAGATTCCAAGATTCAATTTCCGTGATGCTATACTGACGCATGACAGTTGCAAGAGGAACATTTTTTTTTGGGTGGCATTCAAGAAACAAACTCTTTCTGCATTATTGTGTGAACTTCAAAGCATTATTAATGGTCTATATAGAGCGTAACTTTTTACGTCAAGATTTTGACTTGATTGTATCAGTCTTCTCATCTTTGAGAGCCATGCTTTGGTTATCCAAGAACAATGTGTGGGGGGAGCTGCTGACCATTCAGGGTAACTTTTGTTTCGAATGCTTTTAGATAAGTGTGGATTTTTCACACCAACACCAATGTTCACTCCATGATTTCTGAGTGCAGTTCCCTATGATATAATCCTGATTTTGAATGGCTTAAATTAGAATATTGTCCTCTCTTGCTATCTTTTTCCCTCTGCCTCTGCCTCTGTTGGCCTGGTTACCATACTAAATGTTAATATGTTTTTATATCAGGTAGGCTGGTGAAGGTTTTGTAATATTTGCAGTCAATTTTATTTTTTTAAGATGTGATTGTAGTAACCCTCAGCTAAAAGAAAAATAAAACCCAAAAGCTCTTTTAACATTTTATCATAGTGAAGGAAAAACTGTTGTTGAAAATTAGACCTGTTTGTATCCAATGATTTTTCTGAAACTTCACTTTTTTGTCAGAATACTACTTGTTCTTCTCGTAATGAAACAATCTAGCACAAACATTGCCAAATCAGCAAGATGTGGAAGTCTTTCAGTTATGTACAAATGTCGCTATGTATGTGCTTCGTATGCAAAGAATGTACATGAATTAGAAAAAATTCAGAACCTGAAAATCTGTTTGCCATGTGCTTGTTTCGCTATGTGCGTATTCGTTATATGGGAGTTAGACTCTATTTGTTTTCTTCAAGATGATTGTCAAAGAAGCATTATAATCTACAACGTTAATGTATTACAACAAGAGGAACTAGCGCTTTCACTCGAATGAACTTACCTTCAATATACATTGACATTGCAAGTTCTTAGTTCACCTTTCTCAACATTGAAGCTTTTAAGGCCACTTTTCCCAACTTCTACAAAAGCATGTTGATGAAGAGCAACAAAGGTGTTTATGTTGATGCACAGAGATTTTTTGTGTATTATTGCTGATAAAAAAGATAAGGAGTAGAATGTTAGGAGCAAGAAGCAATGAGTTGAATAAAGAAATTTTCCGATTGTGTAGACCATCAGCTATCTACCTCTGCTAACTGCTGTGAAAACAACTGTCAGAGGTAAATAATGCTGCTAAGTTTGAGTTGGTCCCAAATTTTATTCTATAAACAACCTGCACTGTTATTAAATGTTATACATTTGTCAATTAGAGTAATCTTTTCTAGTGTAGTAACATAAAATATTTGGCATGGTGTCTTCTTATTTCATGATGAGTAAATTAATCCCCTAATTATCAAGCGACTGTTATAGTTAAAGATTAATTCTTTTTCTGTGTAACTGTGGTTGGTGCTTGTTGTCCTCTGTTTTCATTTTTGAATGCTGTACAAGAAACAAAATATAGTCGTTTCAGATGCATTAGTAACTAATCGATCATCATGTGCACTTACAACAATTTGTTGAGAAACCCGCATCAGTTGCTGTTGTCATTGACTGCCCTTAATTGATGCTCAATGTTTTGCACAAAAGAAAACGAGAGATGCATTGTCTTTCAAGTCACATCAGCACCATGCTTGAAATATGTTATACCTTCATGTTTTGTCTTGTTGTGCAGCATGCTGTTTTCTATGTGAAAAGAACTAAAGTTAATTCTTCTGGAATATTTTTTTTTCTTAAATATCCTTTGCAGCGGGTTTTTCAAATCATGTTTATTATTTCCTGATGAAAAAGGTTGAAGTCTAACAGTGCATAAGATAGGTTTATCCTGATAAAACTTTATAGTCTTTACTGTTCCTCTGCAGTCAATTCTATGTTCCCACTAAAAGTACAAGGGACCCTTTCAACAGTGGCTTTTTTTGTCGCTGGGCTTTTTCCATGTTTTTGATGAGCTCTTTAGTATGATCTGTTTCTTCAACTTCTTTTCAACTCTGATTTTTTTCCAAATTTGTTTGTGAAAAAATGTGGCTATTATTATGATGTTAATTGCAAGTAATCTTTCTTTTTGACTGATTTATTGATTGATCTATAGATGAGGCTTGAGCCGCCAGAGAATTTAGTATATGTTGCAGACTTTTAAAATCAATCTTTAGTAGATACAGCGAGGACCTACTAAAATAACATTTTTGCGAAGTTGGGACAATGTTATTGCCATGCTGTCTAAGCATATCTGCAGGTTCATTTTATTTGTGGTATGATTGTATTTTTCTTTTTATCAGCCCTGATGATTTTACTTTTGTTGTTTCAGAATTTTGTCTGCTGTGTACAGTTTGAGCTGGGGGGTTTTCTTTCTCATATTTCTCATTTAAAAAATTATGCAGATACATTTGTAGACATAAGTTCTGAATCAACAAGCCCTCTTTGCAACATAATTTGAATCCAGGCTTTAACTTATCCTGTCCCTACCTATCCTGTATCATATCATGAAAACTCAGAGTTTGTATTTAACCCCTAACCTTATATTACCCAAGTTTTAAATGGCACGTTAATTCAGAACTCCCGCTAGTTTGTATGTGACTCACATGCTCAGCGAAGTATCAATGACTTGCTTTGGTTGTTTTTCTCCCAGTTGAATTTGCACTGGGCTAATCAAAATGACCTGTTCGTGTTTTTGTTGAGAATGTACAGTAATGAAGAGCCTTTTTGTGACTAGAGAATTTGTTTCCACAGTTGCCCCAGTTGCCTTGCAATATGAGTCAATATGAATGCAGTTTGCTATAAGCTTGGCTATCACCCAGAAGTTCCATATTTGAATCTGAGTTGGATCCAAATGTTTTCTTGTCCAACCTGAAGGATTTCCTCTCTTCATGATGTCATGAGTGAGGATCATAATATGCTCTGTCAGTGAAATTATCAATATTATGTCTTTGAGGGTGTCAGGTTTCATAAAGACAAGACAAAGCGTGAGAGTCGTTATTTTCCTTTACTCTCTCATAATGTACCATTCTTGGTAATCTTAGCCCACCTAGCTCCATCTCCTTGTTACATTTTCTTCTTGTTTTACCTTTTTACTTTGATTCATAGTCTATACTTATGCTTCGTATTGATGTGTTATCTTCCTTTTGCGCAAATAAAACATATTTGACTTTCTCTTGAGATATTTAATTGTAAACTCTTCATATGAAATCCTGGTGTGTTTGCTTATTCTTTAAGCAAAATCTTGGTCACAGTTGCTTTTCATCTTCATGAAGGTGCCATATTTTAAGCAAAAGCCTGCAAAACGAATAGAAACGTTGACTATCATTTAGGAATTAAAACAACCATTGTTTTAAATTCTCCTCTTTATATATGAATCTTATCACTTACTTTATATTAATTTATACAAACAGCCCATTTTCATTTTTCTGTCTCATAACTACATTACCCTTGACCTCGATTCAAGCATGCTCTACATCAGGAGTTATCCCCCCACTTTGCTACAGATCTATCTCATTTGAACTTTCCTTTTTGCTTGTCACAGGAATCATTGAGAATGATGACATACAGTATGTCAACTCAGAAATTGATAAGGCCCTCAACTTCTCCCGCAAGTGTGCAATGCTTGTGGAATCTGTCAAGAAAAAATATCGAAATAGATTCGTAAGTGATCTTATTTCCCTATATCAAATGTTTTTGTTTGTTGTGTCATAGACATGTATATAAAATAGAGTTTGCCCTCAAGAGAAGGACTGAGAATGTGTCTCTGAACATGTGCATAACACCTATAAAACATGAGATACTGTACATTTTGCTGCTTTTGTTCCACTGTGATATCCCTCTTGTACCGACATTCCCAAGTCTACATTCTGTATTACTTTGTAGGCATCAGAGAACACCGATTGTGCTTGTCCTAAATAATATATGTTTGTGTGCTTTCAAGTGTCAATATGAATGGGATTTCTCATCTCTACTTCTCAGGAAACCCATAACTATATCTCTAGTCTTCTCACTATTGCCATGCTTATTTCCTTTTCATTTCTAAATCAGTGAAATTGTGTGTTTTCTCACAGAGAAAAATGTACCAGCTTTGAGTGAGAATTGTACAAATGTCCTCAAATTTGTAGGTTATACCCTTCTAACTAGCAAAACTAATGAAAATCTTAGCATTGTCTCAAAACAGTGGAGTTGTGGAGGGAGGTCTTTCAGTAAGTCAACAACTCTCACCAATCGTTTTTTCATTTGTTATCCTCATCCTGTCCCTCAGCTTCACCACCCAGAGATGAGAGCCATAGAGAGCAGGTCCTCACAGAGACACTTGAACTGCATCCCAGCCCCTGAGGTGCCCCCACAGTTCTCTGCTCTTCCTCCGCCAGGTGCTCAAGGAGCTGTGCAGCCAAGATATGCCAATTATGGCAGCTCCAGCAGACAGGTAGGCTTATGTGGATTCTCTCAAATCTGGCAAAGTTTTTAACAAAATTCAGATCTTCCATCGATGCATTACATTTTTTCCATAAGAAAAGATATCGACTGCTTAGTGTAAGACTCCACCATACATCACTTTGAAAAGGGATGCATGAGCAGTGGATACCATTTTATTCCTTTCAATAGAGCCTGTAAGCTTTCATGTTGTGTAACAAGCTTTGATATGGAATTGTGTTTGAGATTAATTCTCAGTGTATGTAGTCTATAGCCAATTCACATACGCTCAGACTTGCAAAGCAGATACTTCTTTTTGACATTATTTCTGAACTTCTTTGCTTTTCTACTTTACAGGTGGAGGAAGGTACAGACAGATCTCCACACCGGGCCATTTCCTGGCGACCTTCTAGCGCATCAAGCACAGGAAGTTCCCAGGATTCGAAAACAGCGCACAAACGTACGTTGTTAGAATTTTATTTTACAATAGCCTATAAATTAACAGTGTGTAACACAAGTAGTACTCATCTTGAAGTAGCAGTTTTAATGTTTTGGATGGAATTTAGTTAGATTTGTGTATGAAATTCTGAACTTATTCTTTTTGCTTTGTGTCCCACTGCTAGATCTCAGGGATACTTGGCTGTTGGTTCTTCAGCCTACAATACTACTAGTTTTTACAAATGTATCCTATTTTCTTTCGAGACCACTCCCTTGCCCACCAGGCAGCCAGCTAGCATTTTCAAAGGCTCTGTTTATTCTCTTAGCTGACCAAAGTTTCTTCAGAATTAAGTAAGTGTTAGTTTTGAATTTTGTCTAATGTATCAGCCTGAGCAAGCCTACTCTTCTCAGACTTTCTGCTGCCTTTATATTATGTAAATGTGCATTACGCACTCTTATGAACTTATGGTTATTTAATCCTTTTCTGAGAAGACTAGGTACTCAATCCTACCTGCATCAAAGATGTGAATGACCTGAGGGGGAAAATCCTAACTTTTCAATAACCATGCCTACGTGTTACCGATATCAAACAAGGCTTTTGTATAAAAAAATAAAAAGAGGAGTTTTTAACCAACCCTCTAAAGACTATGAAGCCCCATTTTGAAAATGAAAACTGGTACATGCTTCACATCTCATTGTTCTTGCCTGTAGTCTGTTTTATTTGTTTTGTAACGCTTCATTGTGGCTAGTCTATATTTTTCCTACAGCTGTGATTGATAATTATCTGCAAGTACTGTTTCATTCTGCTTCCTTTCACTCATTTGTCATCAGCTTTGAGTTTGCGTCAAAGACCATCATCCGCTAGAGACCCCATGCAAAGATCTCGTAACATCCGCCGCACAGCAAACCAGGTCTCCACACAGCACTTTTTCTTAGACAAGAAACATTCAACTGGTAAGACGACCAATTGATTAGATGGCTGATCATTTAGAAAGCAAAGTAAAAATGTACATTTTTGTCATGAGATTAGTATGACAACACCATTTATTTGCTACCTTGAATGTGTACTGTATTGTGGCATTGTTATTATTTTTTTTTAATTCTTTACAAATCATTTTTAAAGAACATACCAATTCATTCATAATGAATATTGAATAAATTGAAGAAGAGTTCTGGGTTATTAATATTATTTCCCCATCTGGATTTGATAAACAACTTGCAGTTTTTCATTGCAGACAATTTTGTCCTGAGTTTTCTTCAATGCCATGGTGGCTACTTAATTATAATATTACTTTATCATATACATATCACTTAATTATATACATATAAGTGTTGTTTGAAATTGCAGTATCAGAGTCGTATAGTTTAGATTGATTGTCAGAATTACTCTCTAGTGTATGTGTGCGTTGGAAATCTTTTTTCCATCTTCCAGTGGCAAGAGTGTGCATCTGGCAGATCTTACTTCTTTCCTGTTTGACTGTATTTTTTGGTGCATTATCTTACTTTTCTCATCATTAAATGATCATTATCATGTTGATGTCCTTCACTTGATTGCAGATGATAAGTAAACACTGTAGTTATGATATGCTTTTTTTCTTCCTCTGCTAGTATTACTATTATCTTAATCTATTCTGATGAAATGGGGCCGCTATCCTGCTGACCCACCCTAAATAAGAACTCCACTCAACTAGTGTTCCTCAATTAAACAATACTCTTGTTCCCAGGCTCTGTGATCAACAAGTTTACTGGCCCCAAGCCTGTCAGAAAACAAGTCCCTCATCTGATTATCCCTGAGCAAGAGGACTCAATCACAAGCAAAGAGGTGTTGTTTGATCACATCATCATCATGTTTCCATGATGCTGTAAAACTATCACAAGTCTTTTTCTTTTATTTCAAAATTGCTTTTTAGTTCTGTCAATTTTATGTCCCCTTGTAACAATTAATTATTTCAATTTTTGTTTTTTACCCATTACTCTGTAGCTGGTTTTTATTTTAAAAATGAAAATTATAGCATGTATTGTAAATTTCTATATCAAGTAGCTCTTGGGCTAAAGATATCAATTTTCTGTTGTCCACAGTGGCTACGTGTCTACAGTCTTTCAAAACTCAAACTAGATCTCAACAGGATGGTGTCTGGTCCAGACTGCAAACATGAGGAAAAGAATGTCAAAATTTTGCACAAGAACATCACAGCCAAAGTGTAAGAACAATCAGTGTTGATACATACATACATATCTCATTACTATTTAGAAGTTATGAGAAGCATTATTTTTCTAAAGGCTATCATATCACAAATAGGGATATGACTGTTAGTAATCAAAGATCCTCTCTGAGTGAGATCTGACGAGGTATTTTTCTAGGTACAATTTGGCTCAAGCCAAGGTTGGTCAGTTAGTTCACAACAAATGTATGAAAGACTTTGAATGACTTTACTCTGCGAATCTGCAGTTTTGTAATGTGTTTTGAAAACAAAATTGTCAAACAAAGCTGTTTCTGGTTCTTTTTAGTTATTTATACAACCCACAAGCCATTATAGATCAATGAAGGACTTTTTAAATGAAAAAAATTGACTTTTTTAAGGTAATAACCTTGACAATGATTTTTCTGCTTTGTTTGGAAGTAAGATTGCTCAAAATAGTCAAATAATTTGGCTTATAATTCACTGTTGTTGGTTGTCTGCCAGTTATAACAAAATCTATAATGTCATTGTCTTGATGGAGGTACTTTGAGTGTGGTGAAGTCTGTTTTGTGTCCAGTTATGGATGTAAAATAATAGTACATAAATAACTAGTTCAATAATATGCTGTATAGAAATGTATTTTACTAGTATATCTATTGATTCAGTAAAAACTGTATACTTATTTTTGGAAATATGGCCTTTATCGTCTATTGTGCTGACTTCCAGCGAGCAAAATTCAACTTAACGAAGCTCAGTATTGGCCCATCTATGATGATATTTCTTTTGTTGTATCTCTATTCACTTTGTGTTTCATCAGTCACAGCTTCTGTGAGTATCACTCGGTGTGCTGTGTAGCTGTGCTGTGTTCAGTGTCTGTTTACCAGTTCATTATCGCCAGCAGTTGCTGTCTACCACTCGAACGAGTAATACGTTTTTGTTGAATAAAGCCAAACTTTCAAGTATGGCTCATTCGTCTTGCTTTATGACACAACCTTTTTTTCCCCTACAGGTACCCTGACGTTTTCCCGACTGTGAATGTGAAGGGCACCATGAAGTACATGCAGCTCCTGCCTCATGAACTCAATGACTACGAGCTGCAGCTGGAGAAGACGCTCAGGCGCTATCTCAAGAGACTGCAGTGGCTGCTTAGCGGTAAGTACACACACCCTCCTGCCCTTAATATTACCCACATCCAACATAAAAATTAACCGTCAAGAACAAAATGAGATGTATCGATCATTTTCCTGTTTTCAGAAAAGTGAAGATTTCTGTTCTTCTCCTATTTACTGAATGCTCTTGAGCAACTTTGTTTCTAGGGTAAACATAACGTAAGACTTAGTTGATATTTGTTGTGTGATGAAATCTATTTGGGATTCTTATCCTTTAAATTTTTGACAAAATGTGACATATCCACATTACAATAATAAGGAAGAAAAAGAACTGCCGACAAACTTTCGTTGTGCCGACCTGCACTTACAACTTATTTGTTTTATTGAGCAAAAGAGCAAAAGCTTACCAGCTGCTGGATAGATGCAACAGCTTCAGCTTCAACAACAGCAGCAGCACCGTTTCTCTAATGCATCAAAACTATCTCAAAGAGGATTATAATTTAAAAACAGCTTCCATGCTGATTCAAACATCTGCCTTTGATGATTTCAGGCAGCCGCCGAGTGTTTGGCACAATGGTGCACAAGAAAGTGTCAATCCTCATTGACACCTCTGGATCTATGGAGCCCAGGATGGAAGAACTGAAGAAGGAGTTGGCCTCTCTGGTGTGGGACCAGCTACACAAACAGAGCATTGAGTGAGTGTACGCTGCCTCATGGCTACTTTTTTTTTTCTTTTTTCATCTAGTTATGTGTAACATGATTTAGAACCTTATGAAATCTTTCCAGTAGACTGATGTTGGTCTACTTCTTCTACTTGTCATCTGTGTTACGTTTGCTGTAATCTCTACCGGGTCAACTGTGGCAAACTGTGGCTGTGGTTATGCTGGCAAAAACCAATTTTCTGTGTTATTCCTTTTGTCCTGAATCCTCTAAAGCTAATTTGTTAATTAGCAAAGTCAGTCTCAAGCTTATCAGTGTAGTTCATAGTATCTTTATTATAGAATTAACTCCATTTGACACTGCTTTGTGGGTAGAATTTCTTATTGTTCTTGTAACGATGACAGTTTTGAGGATGGTTAAAGCTTTCACTTTAATCATTTTTCCATTTATTCTTGCTATCTTCTTGCTCTTTTCACTATTGCCTTTAAACACAGTCGAACCTGCCATGACGGCCACCTGTACAAACGGCCACTCTCCATTTCCCCCCTTGCGTTTTTACTATATAATTTAACTGTGTAAACCGGGCACCTGTCCAACGTGGCCGCGGCCACCTTATTTTAACGCACGACCCCTATCACACCAAGCAATAACACCTGTCTTAGACGGCCACCTTAGTGACTCCAATATGTTTTGTCATAAATTGTGCATTGGCCCCCTGGCGTTATGGGCAAGCCGTCATAATCCAATCACCGGGCGTTGTTGTTAGGTAGTCCCTCCAACCGATCATGTTGCATAGGCCCCTCCTACTGTTGACCAATAGGTACAGTGGAACTCGGATTTAACCTGCTCGTTTTCAACAAGATGAGATAGATTCTCTGTTTTTTTTCTTTTTTAAAATCAATAAAAATAACCCGGATTCAACGAGCACTTAAATCAACGAGCTCGGAGTCAACGAGGTCGCTTCCAGGGTGAACAGCCCCCGCAGACGTGGCTTCGCTCTTTTTTCTCCCAGAACGAACTTTATCTATTCCCAGAAACAATCCTTTGCACCTGCATCGTGAACCATTATTCACTTAGCCGATTGCATACGACCAATCAGGGGCCTTTTTTCATACCATGTATACCAACGCATTCGTTGTTGGTACACGCACGTGTCTACTCTGGCGTGTGTCGGGGTCGGATGGGCGGTCTGCACACGTGTGGCTGTCTTGTGCGTGTCGGGGGGGCACTAGCGTTCCGGGCGTTGAACGTCGTAGATACAAACGCGTCAGTCTTTTTTTCCCTCAGCAATTGATTATTATTACAATGATATGCTAGTCTTGATGTAGATCTACGTAATGAATTGTGCGCTGGTCTATGGAATCAAAAGTTGCCGTATGCTAGGCTCTACTCAGCAACACAAGCGTGTGATCCCTCATAAACCATAAGCCCCACCCAGAGCTCATGCACAAATCGTAAGTGAGATGAGTGGTCACTGTTTACCCAGTCTGTAACAAAGTAACAAAGGACGTCAACATGAACTTGTGACAGAAGCGTCGCTCGTTCTCCGGTTCGAGTTGTGGTGACCCATGTGTTTCTTTTAACATGGCACTCGGTCTTCCTCGTCTGATATATTTCGTTTAATTGTCACCGTTGTGCAAAATCAGCAACGAAATAAAAATTACAAATAAAATACAAACCAATTACAACAAAAAAAACAACAACAATGCGGCTACTTTCGATTGGGACCTCACATGGGAATGGTTTGTTTTCTTCATCTTGATCAGTCCTGCCTAAGACGACCACCTGTCTTTTACGGCCACTTTTCTCCTTGACAATGGGTGGCCGTCTTACACCGGTTTGACTGTACTTCTTTTTAACACAGAGGGACAAATTATTTTATTTTCAGGTTCAACTTCATCCGTTTCTCTGGAAATTGTACAGTATGGAGAGATGCAATTCAGTCTCCTACTGAGAGTAATTGCCATGATGCCATTCGCTGGGTGTCTCAGCTCATGGCTAGTGGGAACACATGCACCCTGGAAGCTCTACAGGTAAACTGGACTTGCTTTTGCCTCGCTTAGATGTCTCAACTGCTTAGACTTTGTGAGGACATCGTTCCATGTGTTTAGAAAGATAAGATAAGATTAAATAAGATACATCTTTACTGTCCAAATCCTGGCACATTGGTTTGGTGTTTCACCACGTGTACACACTCACACACACACACACACACACACACACACACACACACACACACACACACACACACACACACACACACGCACACACACACCCACATGCACGCACACACATGTAGGCTTACAATCACATGCAAAATATAAATGAGCAGCAATATAAACAATAATAATCGTAAGCTAGATACACACTCAATGTTATTTTGATGCAACAAGATGGTTAAGATGGAAGCATTTTGATAGGTGATGGTAAAAATGACCTTCTATATCTTTCTTTGTTACAGATCAGAAGCATGGGTCTTTTACTTCTGACTGATTTTTTATTTGAGGAAACAAGGGATGTTTGTTGTCTAAAAAGATGGAATTAATTTTTTGAGTGCAAGCTGTTATGTACAATTCATCCAAGTAGGGGAATGTAGATGTTGAAATTTTACATGCTTTCCGTATTAGTCGATTAAATTTATCTTTATCTTGTTGTCTTGTGATCTCGGCCCATGCTGTTATACAAAAATTGATCATACTTTCTATGGTTGAATGGTAGAACATGGACATGAATGTTTTATCAACTTTAAAATACTTTAGCTTCCTTAGAAAAAATAGTCTTTTGTTCACTTTTTTATGCAGGAGAGAAGTGTGGACACGCCAGTTGAGTTTTTTGTCTATTGTAACACCCAAATATTTATAGTCTGACACTTGCTCGATGTTTTCACATTTAATTTCGAGTGGCTGCAGGGGCAGTTTCTTTCTAAAATCAACAACAAGTTGTTTCGTTTTTTTCACATTTAAAAGCAGCTTATGAATTTCACACCATTCAGAAAAGTTAAGTACAACATTCAGGTACACGGTTTCGTTATGGTCAGCCTGAATTAGCCCAATTATGGTTGAATCATCTGCAAATTTTATCAACTTGATGTTACTGTTGTTTATTTGGCAATAAAAGGTAAGGGAAGATTTTGAAAAAAAAGATGCAAAAATATTTTAAATACCTTTTTTATGATTGGACCACTCCTATTTTTTAAAATTACCATATTTTTTAAAAGATGATTTGTCATGATACATCTTTTCCTTTCAAAAGTTCTTGAAACTTCACAACAGAAAGCACCTTTGCAGTTTTTATGTGGCCTGGGTAGGCTAGTGATAAGGCTATCAGACTTGTAATCAAGAGATTGCTGGTTCAGGGGTCCACGCCTCACTTTGATCCGACATTGTGCCCTTGGGAAAGGCACTTTATATGCATTTTCCCATTTTGCTCAGTCCTATCGGAGATGGACATTAAATTTGAAGGTCCAGCCTCTCTAATAACCTTACTGTGTTGAAAGGGATGTTAAACTTATACAATTTCATAATTTGGCTCTCTTTGTTAAGTGATATTAAAGTTTTTATTTCTTTTCACTTTTCAGCTGGCATTCCGGGACCCTGACATCGACGCTATTTATCTGTTGACTGACGGAAAACCAGACACTAGCACCTCCCTGGTGCTGAGGGAAGTCTCTAAGAGGAATGAGAAGAGGAACATCAGTGTCAACACTATCTCTTTTAACTGTACAGACAGGTACTGGTTTGTTTTCACTGTGAAGGAAATAATGCCAACAAATCTTTACTTGGCACAATTCATGCAGCTGGTAACCCACACAGCTAAAAAGTACGATAAGTACTATGAAAACAAATTTGGAATAATTCTGAGTAAAATTATTTACATTATTGATAATCAACACTTTTAAATAGAGTTTTTTAAAGCTATTGTCTCATCAAGATTTTATCTTAGCAAATAAACATGTACCAATGTGGCTGCACATGCATAATCTCTACAAATCTTGTAATACATACTTTTGTGCTTACCTTTTGTATAATCCATGATCCCCTGGGGCGGTGCTACTGACTGAAGTGTCTTTAGGCCATTCCCAAAGGGGGGACATTAACATGTTCTTATGCGCAGTACAATTGTAAATGGGCTGATTCATCAATGTCATGCTGATAACTGTGCCTGAACTGCAACAGGAAACTGCTGCTTTTTCTTTCCTAATCCTTACTATCGTCATTTTTTCCTCTACTTCTTTTGAATGTTTGTCACACTCTTGTGACCCGCTATTTCCGGGTTGCCTTGATAGTCGAAGCAGACTTTGTGCTGTTGAAGCTAGATAAGAGAGGTGAGCAGAGTAAGCCTGATTCCCTGTAAGGACGTCTCTGTTGACATCCACCCCTTGGCGCTCATATGACCTTATGCAGTTGCGAGCGCTGTAAAACCTCTACTAAAACTTTTAAAAACTAAAAAAACACTAGGATCAGTGAGAGAAAGTTGTGGTCAATAATAATGTAATGTTCAAAATGACATTGCATTTATAACTAACTCTAAATCCAATTCTATGATTATGACTGCCAGATTATTTCCTAAATACGGTTCATTTAACACTCAATTTTCTCTTTAGAAGTTTGTAATCCTTTCCGGATATGCATGTTTCATCATTTGAGAAATGTCTTTCTTCCCTCTCAACCAGCACGGCCAACAACTTCCTGCGTCTCCTGGCAACTGAGACCGGTGGGAGATACCATCGTATCCATGATGACTTCGATGCTCAACTGTTTGTACACAAACTTCTTTCGGAGGGTTTCAAAGACTGTGAGGTGAAGATTACTTTACAAAAGGCTATAAAAGTATTCAGTTCTATTACTATCCTTAATTACTATCATTTCGATGTGGCTATTATATCCTTTGGGAATATCCAGTAAAACATAGATTTCAAAACTTAGCTTTGTTGACGAACATGCTGTATATGTTACTACTTACAACAATACACTTTGCATCCATCAGTTTGTCAGGTCCAGTTTTCCCTCTCTCTGTATCTGATATTTCAGTGAAAGCAAGGCCTGGTGACAATTGATGTGTTATGTGGACATTTGTTTATAAAACAGATTGTAAGTTCAGTGATCTCTGGAGCACAGACCCCAATTGTTCCTGTGTAATTATCACTCATAAAAGCATGATCGTTCTTGCACATATATCAGAGACAGATGATCTATAAAATTACTCATTTCACTTGGAACTGATGGAACAGAAGCAAACACCACATGATTCTCTCTATTATTACTTGAAATTGCCACTTTGCCTTATAGAAAAAGAAGTATTAGAGACATGGTGTGAGACAGAATTATGCCAAGAGGAAAGTCAGAGAACGGCTTCGCATGGTGGGTGGACAGTATGAGAGGACTGTGCCATAATTGTGGCGGTCGTTGTCTATGATCGGGTTACGCTTAGCTCAATTACACATTCTACAGAAGGAGATCAGATGACAGAACACTTGCTCTAGTTTGCTCCCCTTTGAAATATGCTAAATAGCACATTCACATAAGAGAATGCTTCTCTTGTCACGCGAGGGAGGTGTGTGCTATTAGCTGGAGACCACTGTGAAAATGGAAATAATTGTTAATGCACAAAATACTTGCAAAATACTTTCAACTTCATCAATTAACTGAATTTGTTTGCCCTCAACAAACAATAATTTCGTTTGTCTCGATGGCAACCTCGGATTTTTGTCTTACTTTCTTTTATTGCAGGAAGCTTGTGAGTTTGTTTGACAGAACAAGAAGTGTCTATGGTACCCTTAACCTTTCATCTTCTCATTCTTTGTACGCAGTATCCCCATCTGCCGACATTTGAGGGAGATGATCTACGCAAGCTGGGAGCAGAAATTAGCCAAGCTCGGAAGTTTCTGCAGCAAGCCAGAGTTTACAAGTAAGTCAATATTTGAAAGGAAAAAAAAATGCATTGAGCTTTCTTAAGAAATAAACCACATTTTTCTGCTAACCTTTTTCAGTCGCACATAAATGTTGCTCGGGGCTAGCTTGTATGTTGCAGATATTTTAAAGAGTATGGGCAGATGAAAAAAACCTCATTGTTGCTAATAAAATTACCATATAAAACGGGCTGGGGCCTTAACAGTTTGGTGCCATATTAAATAAGTTAACACAATTGAAATCTCCAAGGTAAATATGACCAAAAAATAGCCTCATGGAGCCAAAATTAACTTCTCTTTTTAGCTTTATGGATTTTATCAGTTTTCATAGAAGGACAGTTTTGATTGCAAAGGTATAATAAAACTAAGATAGAAAAATACAGAAATCTTGCCGATGATGTTTGTTTGTTTTTTTAATGCAGTGTTCTTGAATGGGTAAAATATGTGATGATATCAAATCATACACTGATCTGCCGCAAAGTCACACAGCTGAAGCATGAGAAACAAGTGTGTATATTTTTTCTCATTAAATGTAAGATAGGAGAAAATATACCTCTGTATTGCTACAGTCATCTACTCAAACACCTACCAATTAGCAGGCTATTTTAGTGCATGATATGACAGTCTTTTGACAGCTGCAAGTATTGCAGCCATCTGGAGCCTCAAAAGTTTCACCGGTCTTGTACGTCTGCCCAGTGCTGTCATCGAAGCATACTCCTGTATTCATGCAGGCCATTTCTGTACAGGAGATGATTCCATTGAAGCAGTTGCACGTGTTGCAACCATCAGAAGATTTAAAGCTGGAGCCTGGGGCGTATGTCTTGCCTGTGGCGGGGTCAGTGCAGGTGGTGTCCTTGATGCAGGCCATGAGCGTACAAATGGGCATACCGTCCTGGCAGACGCAGGTGTTGCAGCCGTCAGGGGATTTGTAAGACTGACCATTTGGGTATGTTGTGGGAACACCGGCCACATCCACTGTGCACGATTTGCCTGCAGGCACTGTTGTCTTAAAGGAGCACATCATCTTAGTGCAGAGCACTCCAATGGCTCCACAGACGCACTCGTTGCATCCATCGACTGCTGGAAACTTCTCCCCAATTTTGAAGTCTTTGCCTTGGTATGTGCAAGACAGAGCAGCTGTGAGAGAGACAGGAACAGTTGAGAAATATTTTTATTATTGAAAACCTAGTCAGAGTCAGTTAACATGTTTCATACAGGACTTTATGCTTGCTTGGAAATAGAAACAAAGGTTAGTGTTAGGTGTGATCATAGACAGGCCTGTCTTATAGGAGACACAGTAATGCTTTTCTGTCTTATTTGATATCTAGATATCTTGAGATAACAGCTTACTGCTTACTGATCCCATAATCAAGAGGATTGTAGGGGCGCTGTATGATAGAGAGCCTCATCAGGTGCCTGCTCTTTTCACATTTTTTGTGAGCGCCTGAGTTTGGGCGAAGGATGACAGCATTATGTAAAAAAATATATATTTGAGATTTGCAGTAGATTTTTGTGTATAACTGGCTGTGATCAACATTCTGTCTGTGCAAAACGGTGCATAGTATTTGCAGTATTTATAGAAACAATATGAGTTGTGTGCAATAATTTTGTATGAAAGAATTTAACACTTATCATAGAGTCCACTCTTTCTGTCCTGTCAGTCGAAGTAAGACGTTGACAAAAAGGCTACAAAGGTTGACATTATATACCTTCAGTACAGGTGATTTTTTTCAAATATGATAGACTCTTGTAATAAGTTGATCTGATGCCAATACCAAAGACCTTAAAATCGTCTGATGTATGAAATATACCAAAATTATCATGTGAGAAAATACCAGAGAGCAAATTCTGATTTAGTTTGGAAAAGAGTTTATCTGAAATTCTGAACACGAGCTCTTGATAGTCTCACAAAGTTCATTTCTTTGATAAGTTTAACACATTCTGTTTTGATTTTGTAGATATCGTCAAATACACATGTACTTCAGAAGTGATTGAAAGGAGTATAATGTGTCACGACACAATGGAATCTGGCACTCGTTAATTTTGGACATGTGGGGTTATTTGTATCATTTTAAAGCTTGTTCATTTATCTTGCTTTCGGTTAAAAAAAATACTCTTATATCATGAACAGAAGTCGCGATATTTTCAATTGAAGGAGGGGGGGGGGGGGGGTCGCCTGGTTTCCGAGGTAAAATTAGCGAGAAAATGGACGCCAGAGTTTGGCAACTTCCAAAGCTTGAGAGTCATTAGAAACTTCAAATTTACATTTTTGTACCTCAAACCAACATTTGTCAGTAAAATCCACTCAGAAAAGTGTTTTTAAATGGACTTTAAAAGTGTTTAATTAAAAAACAAAAATTAGATAAAAATTGCTAAACAGACAGAAAAATGCACATTTTTTCAATTTCATTATTTTGACGAGCGCCTGATTTCACTATGATGTCTCACATATGCAATCATTTGCTTTGACGGAACTATAATTAAACTCCAAATCGGGCCTTTTTCCATGCCTTAGTATTTGAAGTTATACATGTAATAAAAAGTAGCAATTTGAAATACCAAAAGCACAAAATGTCTGGGTGTCAGAGACTCGGTGCCAGCCATTTCACGAAAAAATTGATGTATTTCAATTTACATATATACGCAGAACCAGAATCTAGGCCGCCCAAGACTTTTTATAAACAGTCTAACCAGTCCTCGTATAGTCCGACCTATTCTTAAGGAATGAGAAATCACTTACAGTGAACCAAAACGGCCAGTGAACACAAGATCAAGAATTGATTAGCCATGTTCTGTTTGTTTGTCGTACTGGTGTGGGCCAACTGTGGACTGACCAGTTGACCAACAGTAAGAATGAGAACAGAGATTGTGAAGATAAGAGTTGCATAACTCAAACCTTGTCTCTTAGGCTCCTACTGCAAGGAATTTCTTATCTTATTCAAACAAAAGAGATGACGTCTCTTAGGCTGTGCCTAAGCATTTAGGAACTGACAGAGGGGCCTTATGGCTCTTTCTCAAGCAAGATGCAATAGACCTAAATCTTCTCAGTAATAGGTTGATTATTACTGTAGACCTTTCTTTAGTTGCGTTTATGGTGACATAAACAGCAAGAGAAGCTGGAATGCTTTCAGATACTTTAAATTTAAACAATATATATGCAAGTTTGTGTTATATTCTAGGTGGTTTAAGAAACCTCTTTCAGTTGACAGGGAGAGAGTGAATAAGAATTCAAAATTGCTCTTACAACTCCACCGAGGGGAATAGACTACATGTACAAAACTTGTTATCTTTTTTTTCTTTCCAGTCTATTGCAGAATCTAGAAATGGTTAAGAAAAGTTTATATTCACTCTGAAGCCATTTTTTTAAAAATATCTGGTAATGTAATTTGTAATGACATTTTTCATATGCCTCAGCTGTGAGAGCAGATTTCACTAGTTTTTCTATTTGTTGTTGTCTTTGCTATCATATGTTACTTACTGCAGTAAATTATAAAATAAACTTTTATGGAAAGAAACTCTGGTTAAATGTCTTTTAAAAATAGCAATATGTTTAGCATAATATTTCTTGACCATATATGTAACAAAGAGGGCAAATAAGAAGATTTTTAGAATAAATAAGTACATTATTTGCTCTGTTTCCCGTTAACATCATCTTTAGTAAAGTCCACTATAATTTTTTCCCATTCACAGTTTCTATTAGTTGTCTTTCCTATTACTAGCATTAAGATAAACAAAGTTTCCGTTATTCTGTGGAGGTTAGGAACTCAGTCAATCAAGAAACAAATGTGAGGCAGCGTGATGGAATCAGGCTCTCGTCAATTTTTGGGCATGTAGATGTATTGGTATCACTTTAAAGCTTGTTCACTTGTCTTTATTTGGATGAAAAAAAATATCCATTTATCTTAAATATAGGTCGAGATATTTGCGAAAGAAGGAGGTGGGGTCACCTGTTTTCAGAGGTAAAATTTGTGAGAAAATGGCGCTTAAGATTAATTATTTCCTTAGCTTAAGAGTATGTGGTAACTGAAAATTTACATTTTTTGTGCCTTCAATCAACGTTTTTCAGAAAAATCCACACAGAAATGAGTTCTTTAATGGGTATGATAGGTGTTGAGCCAAAAAACAAAAATTTGATAAAAATTCACAAACCTACGGAAAAATGCAAGTTTCTTCACTTTGACTATTTTGACGAGAGCCAGATTCCACCACGTCGCCTCACAAATGGTTGACTGTCAGTAAGTGTTGAATTGTTATTGATATCGTTTCAGAGCTTTGTACCAAGCCAAGGCCACGCCCAGCGTAGAGCGACCGTCTAGTGCAAAAGGTATGTCAAACTTTCCTCTTACCATATATAGACCTTTTGGTCAAGGAGTTGGATTGAGTGCTGATAGCAGCTGCAGGTGTAAGACTGTGATAATGCTGATAAAATCTCCATCTGGAGCATGGTCTAAAAGTGATACTGATAAACCATTATAGATAACACATGTGCTGCTTCTTATACCTTTCATACGCAGGTTGCAAGTAGATAAACTGTAGACTTTGGATGAGATCATGTAACGAGAATGCAAAAAAAAAATATTTTTTAAAATCTAATAAACTACAGTCGAACCAGTGTAAGACAATTACAAGGGCACCCGATTCCATTATGACAGGTTTCTGTCTTACACAGGTTCAACTGTATATGAATCAACTTTCTGTTTCATGAATTTGTTCTAAAGGAGTCGTGGAACAGAAAAAAATGTGTAATCATTGTCTCCGAAAATCATTTTATCGCAGTTCATTTTTGGTTAAGTGGATTTTTTATGTTGTTCCTGAAAATGTAACACATGTATAAGACACGAATATGTTGGCCAGTAGTTAAGTTATAGAAGTATGTGTATTATGTTTGAATCCAGAGCTTTGTGCTGCTCCTTGTCTAATTCCCTGCTTTCTCACAAACACACACACACACACACACACACACACACACACACACACACACACACACACACACACACACACCAACAAACATTCATGCGTAATATAGCCTGTCATGTAGAAAAACACCTGCCCAAGATAATGAAGTTTGTCCTTGGCTGTGGCAGTAAACTTAAACAGGTGTTTAACATGGAGTTAAAACATAGTAATTATAGTTCTCTGCAGCTATTAAAATTATCAGCACTTGAAGATTTTCAGTCTGGTAATCAGTTGACATCCAGCAAGAAAGCTTTTCATCCAAACACCAAGCAAATTTATTTGGTTTCTCTTAATTTATTGGGTGACCTTATTTAGGCCACACTGTGGCCTAAATAAGCTAAACCCCCCTCCCTTACCTTATTTAGGCCACATATGGCCCAAATAAGCTAAACCCCCCTCCCTTGTCTTATTTAGGCCACATCATATGGTAGATTTCTTGAACTGACCATGGATTCGGAAGGTCGAGATTCTACTGATCTTTTTATTTAGTGGGGGGGATTATTTCAAAATAGAGGATGATACTAAATGAAAAGTGGACCACGGGTAAGAGTTGTGTGTGTGTGTGTCTGTGTGAGTGAGTGAGTGTGTGTGTGTGAGTGTTTGTTTTGTGTGTGGTTGTGGTGAGAGAGAAATCTAGAGAGAGAGAGTAAATGTAATAGTGTGCTTGTATGTGTGTGTGTGTGTGTGTAATGTGTGAATGTTATTGTGTGCATGAGTGTCTATCTCAGTTGTACGATCCAAATGTACATTATTTTGTTGAGAATTTTACATAGAACTCAATTACAAAACACCTTTATACAAAGTCACAGAAATATTCTTTTTGTGCTTATTGAGGTGCAGTACATTGTGATTTTACCTGCAAGGATAATTGGACAAAATGGGCAATATCTTTATAATGCTAATACTAATGGTCATATTTAGACAAATCCTATATCATTCTCTTTTTTTTCTTAACAGCTCATGGTTATTAAAGAGTTAGCAAACTAGATCAAGGTAGTAATTTCGGATTCCTAATATTATTGGCATTCTTAAAATTTTTTAACTTGTTTTTAGCGCTTTTCTCAACGTAAAACGGATTCCGTTAAAAAACAACAGCAACAATGACCTTAACTTTCTTTTTCAAGGTATTGTGCATACATTTGTGTGAAACTATTATATTCTATGCTTTCAAGTACATGAAAAAAGCTAATATAAAGTCAAGCAAAATGTTCTTCAGAGACATAGATCTAGTAGTAGGCCCACTGGAACATTTTATAAACCGTGAAAAGATGACCAGAAAATAACAAAATTATCTTATGATCTTCACTTGCACTTGCAATTTTTTTTGACAAATTATAGTCTACCTCATTATCTTTTTTTTTCCACATTTTTCTTCACTATTCATGACAACTGGCATGTTTTTCAAGGAAATGGATAGGCGGACCACGGGGTCTATCTAGCCCCAAAAGGATAGGTGGACCCCGGGGTCTACCTAACTAAATGCTAGGTTTTAGGATGTGAACCCCGGAGTCAGCGTAGTGAAATAAGTAGATCTAGGTTTAACTAAGGATCGGTGGACCCCGGGGTCAACATAGTGAAATAAGTAGATCTCAGTTTATTTTATAGTAGGACTGGCGGAGCCCGTGGTCAACGTAGTGAAATTATAAGTAGATCTAGGTTTAATAAGGATTGGTGGACCCCGGGGTCAACGTAGTGAAATCAGTAGATCTAGGTTTGATTAAGGATTGGTGGACCATGGGGTCAACGTAGTGAAATAAGTACATGTAGATCTAGCTTTAATTTTAAGGATTGGTGGACCCTGGAGTCAACGTAGTGAAATAGGTAGGTTTAAGGTGGACCCCAGGGTCTACCTAACGAAATACTAGTTAGGTTTTAGAATAGGTGGACCATCTGGTCACCGTAGTAAAATAAGTAGGTTTAATCACGGTGTCCCGGGGGTCCATCAATCCTTAATTAAAGCTTCTTATTCCTCTACGGCTATGGTGACTCCAGGGTCCACCAATCCTTTTAAAATTAAACCTACTTATTTCACTACGGTGACCCTGGGGTCCACCGATCTTTAAAGAAACCTACTTATTTCACTACAGTGACCCCGGGGTCCACCTGTCCTAAAACGTAGTATTTTGCTAGGTTGACCCAGGGCCCCTGGGTCCACTTTAAACCTGCTTATTTATTACTACGTTGACCCCGGGGTCCACCAATCCTTACTTAAACCAAACCTTATTTCATTACGGTGACTCCGGGGTCCACATCCTAAAACCTAGTATTTCGCTATGCAGACCCCGGAGTCCACCTATCCTCTACAGGACTATACTATTATCAATTTGCAATTTTCATTGATTAGCATTTTTTTTTTTTATATTGAATCGACTCACTGTCTAAAAAGTCCACTCTGCTTATGCTATTCTTATCAAAGAAAAGGCCCAATTTGACTTTATGACATGTTAAAAAAAAGAGTTAAAAATATCCAGAAAATAACATAAAATGATTATATAGATCTAGATCTATACGCATTTTATTATGTATATACAGTAGTCTCCGCCTAAGATCCCGGTGCTTGGGAGCAAGGAAAAGTGGGATCTTAGGCGAACCGGGATCTTAACCGACGAACCCAGGGAAGAATCTATGTTAACCCATGTTAAGGCTCACAATCTGTAAAATGGTCTCCCCCCACTCTAAAAAAAAGGAACTGACGTGACCCCTTGGTAGACTTATAACACATGGCGAGCAAAGAGTGGTTAACCTCGATGACCTATCACAGTGCATAGTGGCATGATGCGTGCCATTTTCACATTATTATCCTATCAGGGAGAGAGAGAAAGAGAGAGAGAGAGAGAGAGAGAGAGAGAGAGAGAGAACGGAAATGTTTTTTCTATCTGTATAGAATTAATGTTTTAATGAATGTTTCTAGTTACTCACGTTTCAACTTTATTTTGACTGTTCGTGAATTTTTATTGCATTGTATATTTTTTTAGTGAACACATTTTCAACCTCACTGCGAGACTGTTTTTCTGGTTCTGGTATAAAATTTTACACATATATGCATTTATATTATATGTATAATACTTTGTTTTATGTACACATTTGTGTCGATTAATTTTTTTAATGTGATGTCTTTTTCATTGTAATGCGCATTGAGCATCTTTTAGGAAATGGAAATGCGCAGTATAAATGCTATTTATTATTATTATTATTATTATTATTATTATTATTATTATTATTATTATTATTATCATGAGTCTCAAGATCTACACTTATCCAGTTGCCCCTCCCCCTTACCTGTAGAAAATGTATAGCTTTCCATCTCTGACCGAGTCCCCGCCTTCTCCCCCTCCCCCCAACCGCCTTTGTCGTGACACACCATTACGTTGTGAACACACCAATTAAAATTCAGTCTGTCTCCCGAATTCGGGAGTAGAAATAACTGCTGCAATGGTCAGGGAAGAGTTCACGGTTCAGTGTGATCCCGCCTGGAGCGAACATGTAGGCCCTACCCACCCAGCGAGTGATGTAAGTTTAGGGAGAGAGCTCAGGTGTGAGTGCAATGTTCGGGGAAAACAAACGTGACTGTCAGTTCACACCCCGGTGTGATCCCGTCTGGGGCAAACATTGTATCGCTTCATCGAGTTTTACAACGTGTATGTGGTCACATTCACGATAGTGGCTGATCTTTGACGCGACGGACAGTTTATTGATCTCAACTTTTCACTCTTGGTTGATCGGCTGTCCCGCCCGGGTTTTTGTTCCGCAAATTATGATCTGAAATGCGGGATCTTAGCCGAATGTAGACCTTCAGAGTGAATCAGAGCGGGATCTTAGGGGTGACTTTTGTATAGTAAAAATTCTGTTTTCTTAAAACAGCGGGATCTTAAGCGAATCGGGATCGTAAGCGGTGGGATCTTAGGCGTAGACTACTGTATATACTTAAAAGTAAAAGACTGAGCAGAGGCTTACAATGTAAATTCTGTGCTCTACAAGTAGAGAAAGTCTTAAGTTTGCGCAAAACAGATTTTAGAAAAAAAAAGTTGGATCTAATTATTCTAATAAAAGTAAAAGTGATTGTTATGGTGAGATTTGTTATTATTAACTCTGGAAATACAGATAGTTGCTGAATCTAAAATTAACTAGAACTGTGCAATTCGTTTTATTTCAATTCCAAAGCCCAAAGGCATAGCAATGAGTTAGATCTAGATCTAGCAGTTGTAGGCTCTCTCGCTGCTTCTAGCATAGGCCTGCTACTACTGATTCTAGACAGGGAATCTAGATCTAGCTATCACCTGCACTATTAAAGTCAAATATATGGTAAAATAAAAACAAAACTGTGAATCGCTTTGTCAGTCAGTACGTCCCAATTGCCATAGCCGCACGTATTAATAGTTGAATAATGCGATACCGTAGCAACTTGTTATCATAGTGTGCAGGGGAGAGCGGTGTGCCCGGGTCGCTGACCGGTCGATTCGGTGGTTCGCCTTTGTAGATCTATGCATTTTTTACGGAAAGCCCTATTACTAGATCTATTAGTGTTGTGAAAACTTCAGCCTCTACAGCTCAGGCGTCAAAAGATGTTGGAAAATAATAATACGTCCCGAAGTTTCATAATTTATACAGAATAACACAGCCAGTAGTTTTTATTTCATCAAAAATGGCCTTGTAACTTGTTTTCAGAAGCAAATTTTAATAGTTCCAGTTCTACCGAATCGATTTTCACGCAAATTCAACCATTTTGATGATCCTTCTTTTCCTTTTAAAAAGATGTAGGCCTGTCGGATGTGGCAGTGCGATTAACATTAAGTTGTTTAGACCCATCAAAACACGAGGCTTCATGGCCGATCACAAAGGTCTACGGGGCTTATCGAGGCCGATTCGCCCTGCCACGTGCACGTTCACTAAACTGCCTACTAGATAGAATCTACTACCAAAGATTGTCTACACGATCTTTGCTACTACTACTACTAGATCTACATGTACTACTACGAGACAGTACGAGAGAGTGCCACCCAGGCAAAGATGTGTAAGTTTGACTCAGCCACGTTGTGTACACACTTTTTATACCCCAAATTTGACCCGGAAGTCCATTCGGAAGATTTGACCTTTTCACTTGACCAAAGTGTGCCAAAATGGTAGCCTAGATTTTTCCCCTCCATGAAGGAAAAATCTGGCCCTCATTCAAACCATTGGGATTGAGCAAAATTTTGCGTATCGTGCTTTGTTCTTACTATCATTATGATTATATATAAGTTGTACACTGAGACAAAACTGTACTAAATGAGAAAGGTGCACCATTATGAAAGTGGAACGAACTCAGTTGCCTGAAAAGGGTGCCCCCGGTAGTTTGAGCATGTGTGGCCTAAATAAGCTACCCCCCCCCCTCCCTTACCTTATTTAGGCCATATGTGGCCTAAATAAGCACTCCCTAATTTATTTCTTTTTGTTTTGGTGTCTTTTGCAGGAGCGGCACCATTTGTGGTTGGCAAGCCAAGACCTGCCCCACCCACCAAGAGCTGAATCTGCAACAAACATAGACTTTTTAAAAATATCAATTCAATGTTCTTTACTCCCGTGTACACATGCTCACTGGATTTCTTTTGAATAGCAGCTTCCAACAGTAGGCATGTCGAGTGTCCAAAGTACTTGGTCCGAGAATGTGACCTCCCAAATTTAAAAATTCTTATTCACATTTATCAGAAATGAAGATGTATAGTTCTTATACTAATGTCTCTGTCAATCAGGTTATTGATGGATATACAGGGTTGTGTGTTCTTCAAACAGATCGTGCTTTTTAACTCATATAAAATCCAGTGAAATATTTTCATGCGATACCCAAGTCACACTCAATGAAAGTGTGTACATTATTCTATATTTTGCGTACTAAAACTCTCTCATCTTTTACTGTCTTTTATTTTTACACTGACAAGTTGCAAAATGTTTTGACATAAATATAATATAGTTTATTGTGGGAAAATGGGCTAAAGATTTGTTGAGATGGTCTGAATTTTTTGTACAGATATGCGTTTGAAAAAAGCTTGATGTTTCATGTTACCACAAGTGTAAAAAAAACTTTTTAACATTTCATCTGTTGTAAATTAAATTGTTCAGTGGTAACACTTCCTTGGTAAATCATATTTTTGTACATGTTACTCATTTTTTAAATAGGTCTGGTTACAAGACCTTTTCCTTTCTATAAAATGTTTATGTAGTGACAGTTACGGAACATTTTACATTGCTGTAGAATTAGAATGGTTTCATTTCAATTTAGTGAACAGTAACTGTAATAATGGTGATGGGCTAAAATATGTATGATTTGTTTGTCATAATGAGTGGAGAGTACGAGTATACTATCATTTTTTTAAAAAAAGGAAAAATAATAGAACTGATACATTTATACTCATTGAGAGAAAAAGTTGAAATTCTTATTTTTATCCCCTTTTTGCATCACAGAAAGGTATTGATGTAGGTGCAGCAAGTGTCCAAAAATTATTTAAAGAGGATCTTGTTGTTTTTTAAACAAAGAAAAGTTTTTGATTTACCGTTGATGTACAAACTGTTTTGTATAAAAATCCTCTTCTTGAAACAATGCTGTGCGGCGTTGCTGGATACAAGCCTGCTTTATAGAAATTAAGAATGTAAAGGGAGAGCAGAGAAGCAAAAGTTATCCACCACATCACCATACACAAATGCTTTAAAGGTTAAAATAAATGTTATGTCTTTAAAATCGATTAAATGTTCCAAACCAGTTGAAATCCTTTGGGATTGTATTGGCAGTTGACCTTGAGACTCGCTCTGCAGAAACTCTGAGAAACGGAGATCTTGAACTCGGAATTTTGCTCAAGCAGCCTGTCTAAGCTGTCTTGTTTTTCTTCGACTCTTAGTTGCACAGGTGTTTTAATCCAGTACATGAGACTTCCAGTCTTTTGATCCTACCCAGGGAGAGCAAGAGCTTGGTCCTGTATACTCTAGAATCAGTATGATGTGAAAAAGGGGAATGAAAGAGTGTTGATCATTCATTAAGTGTAATATTGCTACTTGTTCGTCTCTGTATAAGTGTAATACAGATCTGAATCACAAGAGCATCAAATCATTGAAGCTCACCTTCATTAATGTTTTACACTATTTATTTCAGGCTTTACGCAACAATTTGACTAAAGCAGCTCATTTTCCTCCCACGTGTACCATGTAGTAATTGTAGAGGCTTTGTACATGTTTTGTTTTCCTCAATCACCTTCTGTTTGCATGAGCGCTATGCTCAGACAATATTTGAGTGTTTGACCTGCGTAAGTTTGAGTAAATGCTCAGACACACTTGAATATGTGCTTAGATGTTTGGAAAAGTAATTTTGTTGCTTTTAAATGTGACACTGTGATAGGTTGTTCTAACAAAATCTTCAAGATTAAAAGTTTCAGACTATATTTAACTTGTTTTCTCCATGTTTTAGTTTTGTGAACATGAACTAAAATATTAATTTTGTGCGAGTAAAGTGGCATCAGTGGCTTAACAAGCAGTCAAGCTATTGTATCTGTGACCTACAGGTTATGGTTTCGGCTTCTGACTAAATCGGAGCCCGATGCATCCTTCAGGAAGACACTACATAATTGCTTTTTCTTTCTTACTGAACAGACACTAGAAAACACAGTTTCATCCAGAAGACAAGCTGGCATCATCAATTTCAATTCAAGCTATAATGACAAGACCAAGCTCCACTTCAGTGGGTTTATATTTACTTTACTAAACACCCCCCCCCCCCCCACCTTGGTCTTCTGCGTTTTGACTGATGGTCTTGAAGCAGTAAGCAAGATACAGCTTTGTCTGATCAGTAGACATAGAGGAAGTAGATTACGCAAGTACTGCTCCACTCCATTCAGATCTTGACTTCCTTGATAACCTTCAATAACATGCAAACAGCAGAGAGGAACCCACTTGAATGTTAAGTCATTCTCCAGTTGCATATTAAATGCAGTCTGCATTTAGAAACAAATTATAGCCCTAAAATTTAGAGACCAAGGTACATAATGATTCAATCTCTTCTGAAAAGACAAAAGATGAAGGAGGCATGAAATACAGACTTTAAACAAAAGCAGAGTAGAAATGACACCCAACATTATTCCCAGTCAGCTTCCCCTGGCTAGACATCTGACATCTATTGCTGCTTCACAAAAGCCACATTATCAACATAAGAGAAGCAAAGCATCTCATTGGAAACTGAAAAGAAAACTTGTCAGCCTAATTATTTAAAATTTTGGGAAAAGATAAGGGGGGGGGAAGAAACTTTTAGTGTTCTTCAAAACAAAGAATTATTGAAACTTATAAATATAAATCACAAAATCAAAGACTTGAAACTATTAAAATGATTTATTTACCAAGGCAAAGCAATAAAATTTGACAACTTCAAATGTAAGGAATGTCCAAAGCATACCAAAATATTTTTTTAAACACACATGAATACATTTGCAAAACTAAATATGGACGGAATTGTTATACTGCTACAGATGATGAGAAACAAAGCATGAAACAGTCTTCCAAATGCTGTCAAATTTAAAACACACGATAAAAATTCATTTTTCTTTATGTACAAAGACAGCTATCATTCAGCATCAACCGCACATTATGTCCGTATATATGTCCATTTGCATTCAGTTTCTAAAGCTATTACAGAAATCACTTGCTGAAGTCAAGTACTTAATTTTAAAATTAAGTAATCATAACAAATCACCCCAACATCAAATCACAGAATTTTTCCTAAGAACACAACTCCCTAGTCCCATTATAATGGTACTTATAACCAATACATAAGATTCCTCTGGTGGAATAGTCTCATCTGAAACTGAAATTATTTTCGAATTATCAAAATGAGCACCAAAAATTTCGTTTTCAATTGTATTTTTTCAAAAGACGTTCAGCATTTTCAGGACAATATTGGACTTTGAAAAACATACTGTTCATTTCATAATGAACATGGGCACATTTCGAAGCCATGAACAAAGAGCACGTGGGACTAAGCCTCCTTCCTGCAGTTGCTAGCGTGCTCTATGAGCTTGTCACAATATGTAGTGCTGCGGTGCTTATGTTTCACACTCTCAACCTCCCGGATCAGCATCTCTGGTGCCAGCTCCGATGCTCTCTTCAGAACCGCTGCAAGTCAGAAGGAAAACAAAGAAAACAACACTGTCAAAATATATCCACATTACTAAGCATTAAATAAATTCACAAGCACATATGAAAAAAATTCAACTTCAAATCATAATTTTTTGTAAACTTAAATCATACCTTTTTCAGTAAATTCCCCATACAATATATCTCATTGTCCATCCACAATCACCCAATTCAACTTCTGGGAGTTTCCAAATAAAGCTGTTACTCAAATAAATACATCAATGGGACATCTTACAATACAGTTTCATTTTGTTTCGTTATTTCCTTCCTAGTTTTTAGCCGAAAAATCACAGGAGTGTCCAACTCATGGCTTGGATTTGCGCACTCCCTTTTCATATTCTCAAAACTTTTTTTAAATGACTTAGAATGCACCAGTTGAATAACGCTAATGATATGCAATTTACTGTAATTATTCAATTTTTTCTCATGTATCACAACTGAGAGATAAAGGATTTGAAAATAAACTTAACTACCCTCCAAAAAAAAACTTGTGCAGATCTTTGTAACAATACAACAGTACAAGTGAACTAGGGATTTTCAATCAAAAAAAGGAGACAACAACATGACAGATACGACCCTCACAGCATCTTAACCGTTACATCAGTACAGTGGAGTCCACTTATAACAAGTCCTGAAGTAACGAGAAGTCTTTTATAAAGACATTATTCTAAAACCCCATCTTTGTCAATAAAACACTGCTATAGCGCAATAAAACAAACGCGCGAGTCGGTTATAGCGGAATATTGCTGCTGCTGTGCACAGCGCATAGGCCATTTATACACGATAAAAACCTCACCAGTTGAGAAACTTGTTGGTGATCTAGCGAAACAAAGAATGGGACAGCTCATGTGTGCCAACGATGAAGGCCGGAGCGAATGAGTGGGGAGGGTGTGGCACGCGCAGACAAGCCGTTGTGAAGCAGAACGCATTGCCTGATAGTGATAGGCCAGCCAAGTCTAGATTATCTAGGCCTATCATGCCTCTCACTTCTCCGATGCGGGGATGGAGAGGTTACAATGCTGTGATGGATCATGAGGCGAATGTGTGATGTGCGCAAGCAGAAGCGGGAACGTACCACAGGGTGTGGTGGGGTTGGGAAAACACAGTGGGCGAGTTAGCCTAGAGAACTTTCGTTCTGACAGCAAGCGCCAAGCTGTCAACATCGTTAACGCTAGAGAAAGAAACCTGATTCAATTTTTGATCAGGTAAGACCTAGAAGTCATGTTGAACAAAGCCATCATCAGAGGAGATAACAAAAAGAAATAAACAGAACACTTAAACTTATAGATTTGGCCTACTTTATTATTTCCTTTAAATTTATTATTGGATCCCTTACAACGAGAATCCTGCTATAACAGACATTTCGTACCGGTCCCCTCCCTCTCGTTGTAACAGGATTCCACTGTAGTAATATTTAAAAAGAAAAACACATTCAGGATTTTTTTTTTCAAAATCAAAATGAAACACAAAACAATAAATCTCAACAACCACCAAACAAACTATTAGGAAGAATTATATATACATAGTGCTCATAACTTTGTTGTTTCTGCAGTCATTCTATGACACAACAGACATCAACAAAGAGATGTTATCCTCCCCATTGAATCACAAGAAACAACCCAATAATCCAAAGAAAGGAGTTTGTTTAAGCAAAGAGAAAAACATCAACACAAAATTGGCCATTTAGTGCTGGAAAGGAGCATGAGAGACAGAAAAAAGAAGTAGGACCTGCCACTGGTGCCCTCCAACCACAGCAGGAGTAACATCCCTACTGTTTTTTACTAAGCGTTTTTGTATAGCACTGGCAACTCAATTAGGTCATATAAGTATAAGTGTCAAAGATTAGAGGTGTTACAAGAGAGTAACAAATACAAAAAGAAGGAGGAAAGATAAAAACAATAGATGTTTGATAGGAAAGAAGGAGCAAATCATACCAGAGCACCCATCAAACATCCAATCCCCTACACAGTGACAGACACATTACCAGGCTGAAAGGTCGCACAAAACAGAGCATACAGCTCACATAATCCTCGTCCTTGCTATCAATCAAAGAAATGACAAAAGAAAAACGAAACTCTCTAACAAGTACCTAGTACTGCTTCCTGTATCTTGCCCTCAGGGTCGTCCAGGTGTACTAGCAGCCCCCTGTAGATGGCCTCCAGGTGCGCCCGGTACAGACTGACATCGTAGCCACCCTCAAAGCAGTCCAGGTACGCCAGGAGGGTCTTGGTCATCATCAGTCGGATTTCATCACTGCTGTCATCAAGCCTCTGAAGGAACACACAATTCACCAGCTCTCAATTTGACTACGTTGTACTTCCCATAATCTGACACTTTTCTTTACCTACATACCGTGGGCCAGCTGTTGAGGTGTGAGAACAACATTTTACAGAAGACAAAACTGTTTCATTCTTTTAGAAATTATACCCACACTTCAAAACTGATACCAAAAGACGGATTAGGCTTTAAATATTGTTTGACATAAATCATCATGAGAAATGGTAATTCATAATGAGATATGAGGCTTGGTACACGTACATTGTTCCATCACCTTTGACCCTGATGAAATGTAATAAGTCAAAGATCCTATATTACAAGATAGTTCACTCCTCTCTTTGAGCAACTCAAAAAAAAGCATCCTCAAAACCTCCAGTGGCCCCATCTGAAAATGTACAGACTTGGCAAACAGCTGACTATGGAAGTACAGTAAATAATATATCATATATCAGACTAACATTGTTTCTTCACTCTCATTGCAGTTTGTTTCATGTAACAAAAATTTTATTGTTGAATTTTATTTTGAACTTTGGATGAATATAGCAAAAAGTGACACAGTTGTATGCTTAATTACATTATTTACAACATTGTTAGATCCCAGTTTATCAATGTCACTGCTCATCACCCTTTCATATCGGTGTTCGCTAGATTGAACAGTGTGACAGAGGAGCATGTTTTATTCCATTCAACAGTAGTTGCTCAAAAGGTTTCCACACTTTGCACCTGTCCCCACAAATTTTATGGAGACTTGCGAGCACAAAGTGTCTACAGTCATGCAATATACAAAAGGTTACTGAGATTAAGTGCAGATACAATGAAGCTAAAGACCAACCACGCCAAATCGTTGACTGTTGTCGCATTTCCTCTTTAGGGGGAAGGGGCAATCGTTCTCAGTGTTCAATTAACTTTAATTGGTCTTGAGAGGCCATAAATGCCGTCGTCGATAAAAACTTAGCAGAGCAAAAACCTTATCACAATATAGAATTACAAGAAAAGATTATTTTTCAAATAAAGGAGTGCTACTTTTCTTCTCAAGGCACAAAAGAAGGCTCCAAAATAACAAAAAAGTGCAATCTGATAACTGTTGTATAGGATGTTTGGTTAAGCTATCATGCACTGTGATTTATTACGTTAATGTGCGGTTTGGAAGAGGCGTAATCAGTACACAATTTATTACAACTTTAAAAAATATTACTGATAGTTTGTAGACCTAAAAAGAACCTGTACTGGCCCTTCAGAAATGTAAAAAAAGCCAGCAAAAGTCCAGAATGAAAAAAAAAACCACACCCCAAAACAAAAAAGGAACATGGCCTACGTTGCTTTAATAGGGTTTGATACAACAACACAATAGAAGTGACTATTTCTCCAAATGCTCAGGAAAATAAACTTGATCTCTATTCTCCAAACGGTTTCCGTTCTTGAGATTTTTTGGTTATTTGAGTGATTTAGGCGTTATCTTTCATTCTGCCATTCTGCGAGGACTGGGAGAAGCATTTTTTGCATCGAATTCAATTTCTTGAGCTAGAGATTTTTAAATGTCTGAATACTCAGATACTTCAGTCGTGGTTGAGGCAACGTTCCCAGACTATACTTCTTTTGAAAATGCCTTCAAAAGGTACTGCGAGAAAACAGGACTGATCGACTTTGGCAGTAACCTATTTTGGATTTATTGACCCCTATAGCAAAAACTAAAATCCTTCATGTAAACAACCTCCCCCCCC